AACTTGTAGTATAATTTCAGAGAGATCCATACACCGTTCCACAGTTATTGTCTGGAAACTAGAAAATGCTTATTTTTGGCCCCTTTTTGGCCCCTAATTCCTTAACTGTTGGTACCATAACCCCCAAAATCAATCCCCACCTTCCTTTTGTGGTATTGGACCTTATGGTAAAATTTCATAGAGATCCATTCACTTAAACTAAAGTTAGAGTGCGAAAACTAATGTGTCTTCGGACGACGACGCCGACGTCATACCAATATACGACCACAAAAATTTTTTTGCGGTCGTATAAAAATGACAAAATTCCTAAAGCTAATAACAAATATTCATTCAATTTCAGTGATTCCAACTATTGCTAATTCTTTCAGTCAATAAATTCTGAATTATCTAGTTGACACAGTGCCAAATCTGATCTGTGATGATGATAATTTCACTAGATGGAAAGGACTTTTTTTAATTTTCCCCAGAAAATTATATCAATTCAACTGACATTGAAATAAACATGAATTTCTCTGATCTTATCTGCTTTAATATAATGTAGATTACTTACAGTTGTCGAATGAGCTGGGTAAAATCAAAATTTATATGTTTGGCAAAGTGAAAATAAATCATGAGATACTAAGGTTCCAACTCCCTCAGACAAATTGACATTAGATGGTTTTGGCTATTCCTTTCATTCATATAGCTCTCTTAGTATTTATACATCTCTGGCTTTCGAATTTTAGGATTTGAGTGTTCCCGTTGAAAATTCAGAATATTGCTTCAGACGCATCAAATTTGTTAATTAAGAGTTAATTTTATGGTCTAGATACCCATATGCCTAGAAATTCTACAGGTAAATGTAACTTACCAAAGCCTTCAACATCTCCTTGGTGTCTGGGTCAACTTCAATGATGTCATTCTGGTCAATGAAAGAGATCTGCAAAAAAAAAATGATTGAGAAAAATACTATAAAATGTTCACGGAATGCATTCTTTTTCATGGTATCTAATAACTGTAGTAATTAGAAGTTTGATTGATTGTTGTTAAATTAAAACCCAGTGGCAAGTATTTCATGTAAATGTATATTCAGGTCGAAAACAAATTAACAATAAATATAATAGGATATGGTGGCAAGTATCTATTACAACAAATTTACATGTATTCAAATATCATACTATTTTTTGTGCTTTCAAAGGTACACATGTACCAAGTATCACAAATATCTCTTCTTTAACAGGACGTTGTTTTTCATGTGTCTGGGAAAGTCTAACAATATCACTGTAGGAAATACCAGATCTAAACAACTGTAAACATATCACATAAAAGATTGTAATATTTGCATTTTTTGCAGTCCTTTCAAAAGATTGTGTCCCTTTTGAATCAGGAATATTTCTGTCCTTGTTTCAAACTGGCACTTGAAAGAAAAAGTTTTACTTACAACTATTATACCAAATGTTTTTACTGACTTAAAAAAAAAAAAAGAAGAATAATCAAACTCGCTCGACATAGTATGAGATTGCATCAACACCAATCTTTATAGGTAAAGCATGATAATTCTATTGTTATTCTTACCTCTGGTACGTAGTTGTCTCTCCTTTCTCTCTCTTCCTCTTGAAGTTTGATGGAGATACCACGTACTGGGCCTCTCTGGATACGCTTCATTAAATGTGTTACAAACCTACAAATAAAGTTAAAGTAAATGACAACTTTATTCTTTAAGAAATTCTTGCAACATTAAACATCTGAGAAAATGACAACCAAATCAAGTCAACATACATAAATATTGTTAACTTAGTATTAATTTCTAATCTTGGCAATAACTTATTTCTTCAATCCTACATATAGTTTATATAGTTGCAGATGACAGAGAAAATGAAAATATCAATATATGTGTGTGTATGATTTTAGACACAATTAACTTTGGAATTAAATGATTTCAAAATTTCTTGTTTGCAGATTAAATGTTGAATCTATAAACCCCAATAAAACAATGCAATTTTTATTTTAAAAAATCCCATTAATCGATTGATTGTTGAAGGACATACAGTGGCCTATAATTGCTTACTACTACTTCATTTTAACACTGGTGGATAGTTGCCTCTTTGGCACTCATACCACGTCACCTCATTTTTATATCTAGCAAAGATGAAAAATAGAAAAAATGCTGCAAGCACACTTCTTAATACAATATGTACGGGCTACTGAATTTAGCAGCCCAAAGTAAAATTGAATGGCATTGCAAATATTGAGAACTTTCTAATTTGTTTCAGGGCATGCCCCCCCAGAAAATTTTGATACAAATGAAGCCAAATCCTGTGTTCTGGAGCATTTCCAGAAGGTTTTGAACATGTTTTGTTTCATGAAATTTCACTGGTTTGCTAATAAAAAATACCAAAAAAAAAAAAAAAAAAAATCACATATTTTAATTATCTATATTAAGAATGTGTTCGACTTATTTTGAAGACCCCTTTAGATCATCATCTTCCTCAATTTACTTATCATTATTACTAGTGTCTTTAATGAAGATGGGTAAATAAGGGATTTACAAATACACCAACAAAAGAGGAAAGGTTTGCCCTTGCTGTTTTTTGTCATAATTCTTCATGGACTCCTTCGTTGTTTGTCAGTTTTTTTTTTTTTTGCAGGACGACATTTTATTCCTAAAAATCTGTATATTTTTACCAGAGACCTATATTTTAGTATATCTTATATGTCAGGGATATTGTTTGCCTCAAATTACATCCGAAATACAGCTTTTTCCCCTAAAGAAAATTCCCAATTACAAAAAAAAAAAAAAGGCTTAAAATTACTCTCAATAAGTTGTACAATTTTCCCAAACAGTGATGACATCGGTAGTAATGTATGTAAATTTCGTTTTCATGTTTATTATTTTGATATCCTGAAAGCACTTTTGAGATCCAGGTTTCTGATCAGAATCATCACAGCGTTTGTAGCACATGTGGTTTTCAATGTATTAAGTACCATCATTGTTTCAGTTTCTTTCCCCTCCCCAAAAAGTACCTTTCATGTTAAAAAATGTCTGACAATCAAAATATACGTGAATAAACTGTACAATAAAGACAGCAAAGGTCAGCAAAAAATGTGGGATTTGTTGACCATTAAAATTCTGTAAAATTCCTAGTTATAAACAAAATTTTGACTAGCCCGTCGGACTACTGTGATGAAAACTTTACTAGCCCTCCCTAATTTTTACTAGCCTCGGGCTAGCGGACTAGCGTCAGTGTTGAACCCTGCATTTTCTTATAACAATTATTTCAAACATTAAAAAAAATGACAGAAAGCACATTAAATAAAATTAGCCCTCAAACTTTGTTATTAAAAAGAAAAATCCAACAGGATGATTTTCTACTACTCCATTTAATCATCCATGCGACAATTACTTACCCAGCAACTTTGTTCCTCAGCTTCTTGCTAGGTAAGATGGCAATCTCCTCGCATACTCTTTTGTTTGTATGAAAATCTTGAGTCAACTTTGTATAATATTTCTCTATAATGACACGTGCAGCCTTTTTGACCGTCTTTGTCCTGACACGAGCCTGAAAATAATAATGCAGTTTTAACAACCATTGTAAGTATGTAAAAACCAAAATTGGTTAAAAATTTAATGAAATTTGCAAATAAACCTTACTTCTGAATTATACTAGCAACATTATTAATTTTATATACTACTTCCTGTTAATATGCATAATCAGTATTGTTTACCCAGTAATATCCCCTTCCAAAAATTGGGAACTAACAGTGTGACATTTTTATTTTTATAGTTTGTTCTTATGTTGTACTGTTAAACCTCTGTCCCAGGTTAGGGGTAGGGTTGGACGCCGGCTAACATAACCCACGCCACATTCTGTGTGTGCCTGTCCCAAGTCAGGAGCCTGTAGTTCAGTGGTTGTAGTTTGTTTCGGTGTATCATACATTTGTATTTGTTTTTCGTTCATTATTTTGTACATAAATTAGGCTGTTAGTTTTCTTGTTTGAATTGATTTAAATTTGTCATATCAGGGCCTTTTATAGCTGACTATGCGGTATGGGTTTTGCTCATTGTTGAAGGCCTTACGGTGACCTATAGTTGTTAATTTCTGTGTCATTTGATCTCTTGTGGAGAGTTGTCTCATTGGCAATCATACCACATCATCTTATTTTTATATTTATCATCAGCGTGCATCAGCAACCAAAATAAGCAGGAGGTCATTGATACCTCGGAGTGAAAATTGTAACTTATTTTATCATTACTTATGAAAATTTCTTGATATAATTTTAACCAACCAGCATACAAAAGGTACCATGGTACTAATTTATATATGTGAAAAAATTTCTAGCCGTCTGGTATTATGGCAAAACTGTGTTGACATAAACTGCACCGCTTCAAGGTGATATGGTTAACTCCGGATTCTCTGGTAAGAGTTCACATAGTTATTCAGGGGTACAGTTAGTCAGTTAGCCGAGCTACCTAGCTCCAATACTGGCAATAGCACAGGCACTTGTTTCTATCCATGGGAAGCCCCACTATCAACGTCGTAAATATACGTTGATAGTGGGGCTTCCTATGGATAGAAACAAGTGCCTGTGGGCAATAGGTCCTTGCGATATTTTTTTTTGACAATTTGTGGACGTTATTTGGCAAAATACGGCTGACGATTTAGAGAACATACATAATCACGTGTTCGTCATTTTACTTGTATGGGTGTTATGAGTTCATAGACTTAAGGGAATACAAGATTTCTAATACTCTTCTATCGAAAGATAGTAATAGGGATAATGAGTATATTATGACATAAATATTGCACATAATGATATAACGTGCTTTCAATTTTGATTTTATATTAACTAGTAGACTTCTTCCATTTATTTCAAACACAATTCTTCATTGAAATCAAATTATTAAGGCAGATGAAAGCGGATAATATAAGTAACATGATTTTTTAACTAACCATCTTTGATTTTAAAACGGAAAAGGAAGTACATGATGGGGAATAACAGCAAATCAATTCCGGATCATGTTCCGGATATGTTTTTTTCAAAGAAGACCTGTCAAAGAATATGAGGTTATTACAGGATTTTGTGTGTTTTAATATGTAAACTCAAATGCAAATAATATATAATTCTTCTGTTAAATTGACCAGGAAGATGAGTTGCAATTCATGATACACGTATACCATAATGGCATAAAAATAAGGCTCAAAATGTGCACCAGAATTTCAATAAATATAAAAATAAAAGATGTGGTATGATTGCCAATGAGACAACTATCCAACAGAGACCACATGACATAAAAGTTAGCAACCAAAGGTAACGATACTGCCTTTAACAAGGAGCAAAATCCATACCGCATAGCAAGCTATAAATAACCCCAACATGACAAACATTTATGTGCAAGAAGGGGAAGCCCAGATATTCCGAAACCCCATTAGTCCGTCACCCCATTGATCCGACACTCCATTAGTCCGACGCCCCTTTGGTCCAACATCCCAATGGTCCGACACCCCATTGGTCCAACACCGAATAATTGAACAATCGTTAATATCTTTTTATATTAGTAAGACTGATGATGTGTTTATTTAATATTAAAACTGTGTCTACAACCAAACGCCTTATCCATCGACTGATCCAAGTTATCAAGGTAGCTTGGTAGACATGTATTTGTTAAAATATTGGGAAATAACCACCATAACAACATATAAAATGACCGAGACGAGCACCTCGTTGTCTTGCTTGGCTAAAAAATGAGTACAATCAATCTCTTAACTACAGTACACATTTTGTCAAACTAGAATATAATTTGTGAGGTTTTGTCAAATAACTTGCATGCAGATTCTTTACTGTGTATCTCTCCCAAAGCAGAGAATTAAGAAAGTGAAGGCTAGCTCTCAGTGCTTTCCAAATAGAACTCTTATCTGTAAAGTTTGGTGCGTTCTCCTTAAGGAAACTGTTTGACTATATAACAACAATATACAAGCTGGTAAATAGTAATTATAATGATAACAACAATAAAACTGGTAATGAAATTAATAATTTCATCATTTTCTAGACATCTAACAAACGAGGAGATTAGATGGTTATGGAGTTTTGTATGAAATCTGTATGTTGCTATGCAATAAACCACTTTTGATCCTAGCAGACCAACCTCTGTGTATTTTTCTAGTGACTGTATTCTAGTGTCAGTATGCCAAAGGAGTAAGTTCACGAAGGGTTAAAATTGGCCCTAAGATTTTGATGATCAGGCCAAAATACTACACATTTCACATATAAATAGTTGTGATATTACTATTAATACAAAACAGAGACATATAATACATATTATATGTCTCTGTACAAAATAAGTTCATTTTGGCAAATCACATTAAAAATGACGAAGTATTGACAACTTAAGAATGCATTCTTTGTGTTGTAACGTTAGTTTTGGTCAAATTTTCAATGATTCTTAACAGTTTTTAGGATAATTTACTTTGGCCGCCACCTTTGATCCAGAAAGTTTTTGTGTCTAGGGATTCACTATCGTCATTGGCAACTTTTGGTTACAGAATATTTTGGATCCTAGGTTGCGGCCAAGGGTTTCCTCAAGCTTTTAGGTCCGAAAAAAATGCACGAAATCATCATATTTTGACAATATATCCAAAATGTGCTGATTTTGAAGTCAAGAATGTACTCTTATGAAAAGATTTATTTAAGAAAGAACGAAGTTAGGCTTTTGAAATAGATCCATTTAAGAACCAAATTACAATGTATGTCCATTTTGAAATTTTATAATAAAGTCGAAATTCAAGGCCATATTTGCTAGAGCAGACTAATTTAGAAAACAACTTATGAAAAATTAAACAATATGAAGCAAAGGCTTATTCTTTTATAATTAGGGCACTAAGGTAAATTTTACTTTGATATGTACAATGCAAATAAATCAAGGAACTTAAGACTGGACAATCTTCTCACAAAAAATTTGTTGTAATGCCAAAGTAAAAGGCTATACATCCACAGGCACTGGTCTCTGAAAAAATTACCTATATGTATATAGGTAAAAAAAATTCAGAGACAAGTTCCTGTGTATACATGATTATACTGCCTTTTTGTACATGATTATTTTTTTGGTTTATATCCAGTGGCAAATGGTTCATGTATTTTTAATACAAGTTTATCGAAGTTTCAATCTCAATAAGGTCTTCGTATATAGAACTAATTTTCAACAATTGTACTATCAATATTTTGATCAAACTTTTAAACTCACTAATCATAGAATATATTATCAATTAGCAACTCGACAACTTTCAGTTTTGAAAGTTTTCGATCTATAAGTTCGTGTACAGTGTAGATGAACAGAACTCATCATACTTGAAAAAAATATTCCCTTCGAATGGCAAAATGATACTTTTTCGGTAATGACAGTTTCCGAGATTAAATTAAGTGAACGATGAGAGACTGCACTACCGAGGACTGTTCTTTACATTTTCTTTTTAGTGGAGTGTAGTTTCCCAAAGAACACATCGTGTATGAATTAACCAAAACTTGCAAGGTTCTCGATTGCTTTATGTGCATATGGTCATAGTATTTCTTAAATACCAGATGGGTGGTATGGTATTATCTGTTTATTTAACATACTTATAAGAAAGAGTAGTTCAAATACCACGCCAACAATTCTATGATTCTGTGAATAAATTTTCTATTACGCCAGAAATGTATCTTCCTTTGTCGGACTAATGGGGTGTCGGACCAATGGGGTGTCACACTAATGGGGTGTCGGACAAATGGGGCGTCAGACTAGTGGGGTGTTGGAATATCGGGGCGAATCCATACAAAACACAACAAACTACAAAAATCAGATAAAAAGGGCTTAATATTAAATCAGATCAAAACAAAGCAAAAACAAGGAATTATTTGAATCTGGAATAATTTTGAATTCTGGAAAATTGATTAGAAATGTATGATGAAAACTAACCCAACAAAATAGGGTTAGCCATGCGTGCATGGCTAAGGTTAATTTTACTTTCACTATCATTTCAGTATGAACTAACTAACCCACCTTAGCCATGTGCGCACCTTAGCCATGCGCGCATGGCTAACCCTATTTAGTTGGGTTAGTTTTCATCATATATTTCTCATCAATTTTCCAGAATTCAAAATTATTCCAGATTCAAATAATTCCTTGTTCAAACATAACTAGACACAAAATACAGATCTTATAGTTCTCACAGTAAATGAAAGCTAGTTCAAAGCCATAGCAAATAATAAAAAATCAGGTAGGAAGGTGTCCGAGAAAAAAAAAAGTTAAACAGCCTTTCCAGGTTCATCTGAGCATGGCTTCATTCACATGGATCATCAATAATGTTAAGCTTGTAGTATTTAAACACTTATCTTAAGGACCTTCAAGATTAAATGCAATCATTATCAGTAAAGCAGGTGAGAGATTTCAGTGTATGCACTCTTGTTTCTATATGCAGTAGTAGTTGAAATAGTGAAAATGTGTACACAATTTCATAAAAATCAGAAATACTGCCAAATTACATAATGTTTGCCTTTTCCGCAATGTTAGTTGTAATGACTGTTTTTGTGTTTATTGAGGTATTTTGATGAACAACGCTTTATGTAATGTTTTGACTTTACAGTAAATAACTTCTTTTTCAGTCTTCATAGAAAAAAAAACAGTGACCAACAGAATCTGAAGACATAAATATGAAACTGTACTACAAGAATGATGTAAGTATATACTGTACTGCCTATTACAATCAATAAGTTATCAGGTTTAGTGCACAAAAAATATCAGCCATAAGCCACCTTTTTGGAGGGCCAAAAAAGATTCACATTGTGTGGTACCAGTAGTTTAATCAAGAAAATTGAACAAGGGAGCTTTGCGAGCTTGTATTACAAAATGTATGTGTCAAAAGAAGAGAATTATACTTCATATTTCATTCATGAGTGATGGTGATCTACAGATTTTAGTCTAGTAAATAAAAAAATGATTTGAAGTGCTATTGTAGTGTTGTCGTATGAATCTTAAGAATTAATGGTGATGCTTATCCTCCAGCAGGACAAATTTGCATACATATTTAATAAAGTGGAATGCATCTGCGATTATCTTTTATTTTTCTGATCCAGATAATAACTACTGTCTGAAATACTTCAATTTTTATTTCATCAATTTCAGGAAGTGCTACCATTACAGAATACAAAACCAAAATCTGCATTCCTTGGTTTGGTACAGTGGACGTGTATGCTGATTGCTGGGTAAATTATATGAGGGTCTGGATGGGGTTTACCAAAAAGAGAATAATGGGGAAAAAGTGTGCAACAAACGGCCTAAAAATAAAGAATAGAGTAAAATATTGGAAAAAAATACAGAATAGAGAATAATGGTTTGCTAAAATATAAAGAATACAGAATAATGGACAAAACATATAAAGAATACAGAATAATGGGCAAAAATATAAAGAAAAGTGAATAATCGGCAAAAAATATAAAGAATAGACTAAGAATAATGAAATGTGGGATCCCCATTCCAGATCCTCTTATATAGTGATACTTAATTAAACCAAACCTTGATCAAGTTGAATACCTCTCTGAACTGATATTTGTGTTTTAAAGCAGAAACTACACAGACATATTCTTCAGAAATATGAGTTTTAGACTGAAAGGTAAATTAAGTACAAAACATAATTAACAACATTTTGATATCATAAACTCTCCTTAATTTATATTTATTAAAAAAAAAAGATTAAAAATAGTTTTTAATGGATCTTTTCAATAAATTGATACTTAAACTTATATGAATTGCAAAACATGGGACTTATTAGAGTTAACATATATATGTCTCTTCACAATTTTGTTCCTTATTAATTGTTCTATCCTACTTTTCAGCACATTAGCATATGGAAGTTACACAATTTTTGTCCATCTGTGTGAGGTAGATGGTAGGATTCCTTTCAGTTCTGCATCGTCGACCCTCATGATAGAAGCCTCAAAGGTAAGAGGATTCACAGTATTTGAAATTCTGTGGATTTTTTTATAATCGTGGATTGAGGAAAATTTTATTTTCGTGGAAATATGATTTTGTGGTTTTTTCATAGGCAGCATACAAGCTTATTGAATAATTTCCTTTTTGATCATTTAAATTTGTGGTATGCCAACAAAATCCACGAATATGGTATCCATCAGATAATAATGATTGCATAGTACCTCTTAGTTAAGAACAAATAGTGAGTATGGTGTTACTATGAGAATAATGGGATATCTGCTGATATTATATATCAATTCAGAAATTCAACTTCTGTCCTTAAGGATGTACACCTCTGAGGAGCCAAAAATTTCTAGAATTAAACTTTTTTTCTTAACCTGATTTTTGGGTTTATATGACTGTAAAAAAATATTGATGAAGAAAAAATCATATGGTGGTGCACTTCTTTTTTTGCTACGGCCCTTTGAAAGTAACCAATTTTGATGATTTTCTCATTTTTCATCAATTTTTACCCATTTTTGGGCTTTTATCGTGAAAAAAATCACAGTTCCACAATTAAACTTTTTTTCATACTTTCAATAAAGATGAAGTGGACCAATCTGAATAAATTTAACTTAAAAAAACTATAGGTAGGTGTTGATATAAGAAAGTTTTATCATATTCTAATGCTTTTTTGTGTCAAATTTGCCATGTTGTCAATTTTGTAAATTTGTGATTTTTCTCTTATTTTTAGCTCAAAATGTGTATTATTTCAACTTCTTTATTATAAATGATTGAAAAAATACATAGCTAAGAAATTTGAAAAGAAAAAAGTGATATGGGATGTACATATTTCTGGTAAAATCATTTCTTGTACCCCTCACCCATTTTATCAAAATTTTGGCTAAAAAGACTGACTTGATTGGTAATAAAATTTGAAAAATTTATTACTCAAAAACTACTTATTGTAAATACACAATTTTTTTCACAGAGTTAAGTTTGATTATAACATTTTTTAAATTCATTGATATTTTCCACTTGTATCACATGTTTTGGAAATAATTCCAGAACGAGACTGAAACGTCAGAAGAATACATCCTTAAAAATACTTTGTGAAGACTCGACGTCCTTGTATATGTAAATGATGTTTGGGTTAATGGGACTGTTCCTATTATGAATAATTGATCCAATGACATACCAGTGACCAGTCCCATGGCATATTGGCATATATTGGGAATACAATGTAACAATATGATGTAAAAGTAACTTAATTCATAGGATACTGAATTTCAAAAGAATTTTTGTTGTTTAAAATATTTTTTTAGTAAAGAACATAACAATATAAAATGAGGTTACATTTATTGTGGTTAACTATATTGAGCATTGCAAATGTCTCTTTTTTGTGTGATCTTTAAAGCATACCAACCTTGTACAGATGTCAGGACTCTTGTGTTCACTTGTTGGTGTAAGATTCACAGTCATCAGTACAAAGCAGACCACTGTCCCAGGTTAGGGAGAGGGTTTGGAGCCATCTAACTAGTTTAACCCCGCCACATTCTGTATGTGCCTGTCACAAGTCAGGAACCTGTAATTCAGTGGTTGTCGTTTGTTGCTGTATTTCATATTTGTTTTTTGTTCATTATTTTGTACATAAATCAGGCCGTTAGTTTTCTCGTTTGAATTGTTTTACATTTGTCATTTCAGGGCCTTTTATGGGTTTTACTCATTGTTGAAGGCCGTACAGAGACCTATAATTGTTAATTTCTGTGTCATTTTGATCTCTTGTGGAGAGTTGTCTCATTGGCAATCATACCACATCTTCTTATTTTTATATATAGAGGGCCTGAAAGAAAGAACATATTTGATAATTTTTTAATGTTTTTTCTTCAGCTTGTGACTTCATTGGTGCTATACTTACAACAGACATCCTGTAAACCAATCAGCATTCCAAAGTTTACATTATGGCTTCCATTCTCAATACCAGCAATATTATATGCTATAAATAATAACATGGCAATACACATGCAGTTACATATGGACCCGACTTCTTATCAGGTAAACATATGTTGTAAATAAAGATACTGTTTTTGTATATACACATTGTTAGGGCCCTATTAACATATATTGCTATAAAAAATATGGGTTAGGTATATGCACATTGTAAGGGCCTTGTTAACATATCTTGCTATAACAAAAATATCGGTTAGGTACATGTATATACACATTGTTAGGGCCCTGTTAACTTATATTGCTAACAAAAATACCAGTTTGGTATATACACATTGTTAGGGCCCCATAAGTCTTTCAAGATAAACAAATGAAATAAACAAAAACACAATATGCAATTATATATGTACCATTTTCCTGAAAAAAAAGGATAAAGAAATTATAGAATTTTATAGGTTTCCGTGATTTTTACTAAAATCTACATGCCTATGTCATAGTGTTTTACCAAATTGAATGAAGGATAAAATTATGAAAACAATGTAAATCGTAATGAAATTGATGTGTAAAGTGAAAAATGTAGGAAATTGATGAGTATGGTTATCATTGGGTCATAAGGTCTAAATATGTGTTATATCTAAGCATTTGTTTGTTTTCTCATTTGAATTGTATTACATTTTGTTATGTCAGGGCATTTATAGCTTACCATATGGTATGGGAATAGCCCAAGGCCTTACAGTGACCTAGTTGCATACATGTACATCATTTGGTCTCTGGTGGGTAGGTGTCTCATTGGCTATCATACTGCATCTTCTTATTTTTATATTAATTTTATTATCTGACACAAATTACAGGTTGTTAAAACACCCCTGCAGTAGGAGAACTTAAAACCCCATTCTGCAGATCAAAGATTAAAGTTTTTTTTTTATAATGACAATTATACCATTCAAGGTGTTTTAGTTGGCAGAAAAATGTATCAATGTTTGTATAAAATTGGTAAAATATTTGAATCAAGATTGCTACTTAATTTTAGGCATAATTGGTTTATTCATGAAATTTGCAACCCAAAATTCACAAAAATTATTGAAAAATGTTTTATTTTTTCCTTAGAAAGTTGTCCATAGAAGAATTTACATCAGTCTGTTATCCTTAAAAATCCAAAGAATACAAGCACCCATAAATCTTTATGTTTTTGGTTCTACTCTGATTATTTTAACTGTAGATTTTTTATTATGAAAATAACTCAGGAACTGTCACTATTTATTATAATGTGATTGTAATAGAGATGACACAACTTACTTTTTTTCAGGTTCTCAGCAATATGAAAATAGGGGTTACAGCAGTATTATATAGAATCATTATTGGCAGGTTAGATATTTATTCTAATTGACTTTGTGACTATAAAAGTGTTAGAAGATACCACAGGTTCCATCAGGTTTTGATGTAGGAGATAATGTCATAGTCAAACAAAAAAAGCAATTAAAAAAAAATGAGAAAAAAAGAAAAAAAACCCAACCACACCACTACTTTGAAAACTCAGGATTGAGAAAAACCAAACCCACTAAAAGTGTGGGGTAAACTCTGGAAGGTTCAACAACTTCTTCTCAACTAGTAGTACCCGTATATGAAAACTTTCACACTAGCAAACAGCAGCCATGTTGCAAGATTTAACCGGTTTTTGACTTAGTTTTAAATATCTCAAACTTTTTCTCCTTCAGTAAAAAAAAGATATTTTTACAGAGAGAGTACACAGAAAATGATATATGATTTTTACAATTATCACTTTTGGCATACAATTTAATGAGTATATAGAAGGTTAATTTGACACACTTGGGGTGCTTTTTATACATAATTATCAATAATATCTTACTGATTTTTGTAAATTTTTACATATTATTTGATTTCTATGATATTGTTTGACCAACGATTATGAATATAATTAAAATAAGTTTGGAATACTAGTCAGTGAGACAGCTACGAAATAAAGGGAATAAAAAGAAAGAAGGAAAGATGTGTAGAAGTTAATAGACAGTCTTCAGCAATAGACAATTCACTTTATCCTGTCAAGCTTTAAATTACCCTTGTCCTAGACAAAAAATTGATAAATTCAAAAGACATCAAAGATCTACCTTAAAGGGAAACTTCGCAAAAAAATGAAAAATTGATATTATGTTCATTATGTATAAAAAAGCACAAATTCATAAATATTAAAGTTTTATTCTGCTAGATAAGAGATCACCATCGATTTTAAATTTAGAGTATCAATTCTCCGCATGCGGCCATTTTGACATCCTCCCTGAATATAAACCACGATATATCTATAAACCACAAAGGACCAAAACAAGCAGTAACCTAATGTAGCCGTAATTGAGTGTCGATATCTTGTCAAGCGTACGTTTGTTTTATCCGACAAGGAAAGCATAAACAGTTTCCCGGGTCACAAAAAGATTATAATAGACATGGTTGTGCAACCTTTCCTAACTAACTTGATACGGAAAATGTAATTATAATTTTTTTTTAAATAACTAGTACTATGGTCTGTCGTTTTAAAACTGTTTTTTTTAACTAAGTTTTTGAAACAAGAAATTTTAATGGAAATTAGTTAATAGTCAAAGTTCAAAGTCATAAATAAGTGTTCCGTGTAAAATTGTTTTCGAAAATCTAGTTTGTTCATAATTCTTTTATGTAATAAACTTATTTAAATAAATTCGGACCTTCCCTTATCTGATCACTAGCATGGCTTAAGAAATCCCAGAGGTATTGTGAGGTGACACGTCCAGGTATTCAAGCGATTTCCTGTCGGGCTTTAAAACTCTTATTACACAATTACATAAAGCAAGTTCGTGCATCACTTCACTTCTGAGGGTATTGATCAGTGTACACGGCCGATAACTTGTAACTTTCCATTTTGAAACTATCAGGTGTAATATACATCTTTGTCTTGCGTGTCCGATAGTGATATACTAGTCATTACTAAACTCATACGCTTGTTTATAAATAACCTTTCTGGTGTAAAGAATGATATTTATGAAAATCTAAATAATTCCCAAAAAAAGATATGATAAAATAAAAAATCTATTCACATATTTTCCAAGGGTAAATTGGGGAAAATGTAAGTATATACTCGTTGTCAATAAGTATGGACATCTTGAAACATACAAATATTGATTTAACAAAATGTACGCACTTGTCGATCATTGGTTTATACGCCTAGATAGAAGGTTACGGAACTATAGATAGTCGCAATTTAGAATATATAGATGTAAATTGAATATACGAGAGAAACATCCAGAACCAATCTGATTTAAATACAGTTCGATATCTAACTTGCTTTGGTTTCATCGAAGTTTATATGGACATAGTAAAATCACAGATTTATTTTTCAATAAGATTATTTTGAACAGTTCAAGAAATTCGTCATCATCACAATTGTTGGGTATAATGTATAATAATGTGAACATGGTTCTAAAAGTACCTGATGTCAATTTTCCTGTTCCGACATGCATGTAATATATATGCCACTGGACGTACACTAATGATCCCCAAAAAGCCTATTTGAAGAAATAAAGAAACTTCACTGCGGATAGACTGATAGTAGTTGTATTAACGTCTGGTCAGCTAGAGGGTTGATTAATTTTTTTAGTTAGCTTCTGGTGGTAATAAACCATTCCTAATATTGCACTTATGCATAAAATATCAAATGAGAGTAATATAAGAGAAAATATAAATACGAAAAGTCGCATATCTGGTACAAAAAGTCTCACCATGAACTATAGGATTTTACGTACGATTGTCATTCTTAATCGAAATAACGGACAGTCATTTAAATACATGCATGTACGCTGTGATAAAAAGGGGTGTCGCAGTTGCATAGTATTCATCATAAATCTATTTCAAGTTTATACTTTCCTGTTATTTTTATAAGTTAACGCAGAGACATGTATACATCTCTAACTAACGACAATCAACTATATAAATATCTGAATCTGATGTGATTTACCGTTCATGTCTTTCTTTTTCTCCTTTTTTGTTATTTTGGCAGGAATATATACATTGTAAGATATACTGTTCCCAGGTTTGGGGAGGGGGGGGGTTGAGTTAATGTCTATCGAAAGTTACAAAATAAGAACGGTGTATTTATGAACTTACAAGAAGAATTCTGTTCTTGGGCGTAGTTTTCTTTTTTTTTTAGTTCAGTGATTTAAATTAAGAGAAAAAAAATCTAGTCAGAATTTAAATTAAATCGTTCCGGCAATCCCCCACCTAAGACGCCTCTAAAATAATGAATGGTCATGCTTCACAATCATCAGAATTTTCGTTGCATTGGTATATTCTGTATCAGTAGTGATTAACCTTGACATTTCCGGGTATAACAGAGCTACTTGTATATTACCTGTATGTGGTTAGGTGATCTTAGGTGACGTCCCATGAGGTCTTACGTATACAGGTTCACATTTATAATGGTTTCTGATATAACAATTAGGTTTTATGACATTCACACTTCTGCATGTTCTGTATACCAAATTCTTATCTTTTTTTCGGACCGAATGAGGATGTGAATATTTTCCAGGAAAAATATTGAGTATCAAATTAATTTCGGGATTTTTTCTTTCTTGGTATTAAATCACAGAAATTTAAAGAATATACTGCTTGTCCGTTTTAGGAGTATTCTTGTCAGTTTAAACAGACGTATATATATGTCTCTGGTTTAGAGTGGGTTTATGAATGAATGATAAGTCTTGCAAAGGTACAAGATATAAAGCACATTGAAAATTGATTCCGCCGGTCTTTCTCCATTCAAAAAAGGAAAGTTGACGTTAGATTGATTCGGTTGATTTTTTAAAACATCGTTGGTCAAATAGCTAAAGAATTTATACGTTGTGAGATTTTGAATATTTTAATCAGGGCATTCCCGATTAGGTTAATGTAGATCGCTTTGGACGGACCAAAGTATATTAATGTAACTGATAATTTTCTCTGCACATTTAAATAAATATTCAAGGTTACCGATGATAATTTGAAATAGTACAGTTTTGATTTATACGCTCGTTTTCGTGAGCCATTTTTATCTATAAAATTCTTTAATTGAAAGTAATTCAGAATTTCGATGTTACAACAAAATGATCACCTATTTATTAAAAAATTGAGCTAACGCAAAATATTAAAAAATATATAACGGCGATTCAGTTATTTTGCCACCATATTCCTCCCCAAATAATAAAAAAAAATATCCTGTCTCAAACCCGCACTTCTGTTTTATCCTTTTTATCCCCATGTTTTTCATACTTACAACGGTGAACCCTTGAGGCCAAACAAAACTCTTGTGAAGATCAAAAGATTAAAATTACATAATGCTAATCTTTTAATAACCGTGAATTTAACCACGCCTTTACCAGGTGGTGTCAGTATAATACACATGTATTGTATTTACACAGTACTAGACTGAAGCAAGGATTTGTATAGTAAGACAAATCCTCGATGGAAGTAATAGGTGAGAATACAAACATGCATTTTTATTACGCTATCAGTTATATATGTTTGTTCAACATATCCGTCGGAAAAAAAATCATAAAAACATTCTATTGTATGATTTACTTTTATTACTATAATAATATCAGAAATCCTTAAAATATAAAAGGTGCATTTTAATTTTAAAAGTTGCACGGCTGATCACTTTTCTTTCTGAATTATTAGTTGGTTAATAGCTACGCCAAAAGTCGTGGATGCGCTTTAAATCGCGTTATAAGATGATTAACGAACAAGACTTAAAATGAGATTAATCCACTCCCGGCATGCAAAAAGACTTAAACTACGTCACAGAAGTCAGGAAGTTCGAATAAATAAAATTAATAATTCCCAATTTTCTTCTTTATTAGTGTTCATATCCAGATAAAACTTGGTGAATATGTTTTTTATGGTATTATGAACATAATAAGATGATAAGTAAAAAATCGCGAATTTTCCCTTTAACCTAATTTTGTTAAAGGACGTCATAATTACACCAAAAGTGTTCTAATGTGTCAGAACTTGTTGGTTATGTATTTGTCAGATATTTTTACACATTTTGCCATCAAATGTATACCGTTTTTACTGAAGTTTAATTTCGCGGAATTATAGTGCCAATATTGACCCTTTGTGAACCGACCCTTTTTATATGCCCGTTTACGGGACGTATTATGGTAAATTGTTGTCCGTCTGTCTGTCCGTCCGTCGTCAACATGTCGGACAATAACTCAAAAACTCTTTAAACAATTTGAATGATACTTTGGTGAATTGTTTATATCTATTGACGTGAGCTTCCTTTTGATTTTTATAAATTTAAGATTTTACATTTATGAGTTATGGGGTTTTATCCATTAAAAAAGGGGGATTTTCCAGTTTTCGGACAATAACTCAAAAACACTTTCATCAATTTTCAAGAAATTTGGAGAATTGTTTATATCTATTGACATGAGCTCCCTTTCAATTTTATAAATTTTAGATTTTGCGTTTCCGAGTTTATATGGGGTTTAATTTTTTTAAAAAGGGGGATTTTCCAGTTTTTGGACAATAACTCAAAAGTGCTTTGAGCAGTTTTCATGAAACTTTGGTGAATTATTTATATCTATTGACTTGAGCTTCCTTTCGATTTTTATAAATTTTAGATTTTATGTTTCCGAGTTATGGGATTTTATTCAAAAAAAGGGATGATTTTCCAGTTTTGGACAATATCTTAAAAGTGCTTTGAGCAATTTTCATGAAACTTTTGTGACTGTTTATATCTATTAGAATAACCTCCCTTTAGTTTTTTTATATAGATACCAAAGACTCTTTAAAACATTTTAACAAATATAACTTTATATTTCAGACGTCTGTCTAAGATACAATGGTTTGCATTAGGAATTTTAACGATAGCAGGGCTGTTTGATAGGTTAGTAAGGATTTATTTTTAATTTGAAGGTAACTGTCGTGCTGCATTTTTTACAATGAAGTAAAATTTTTGATCAGTGTGCTATTCTTTTTTATTGTTTTGAATTGATCACATAACCATGAGTCAGCTCAAATTTTGAAAATGAAAGATTTCTAAATCTTGATAAATACAGTTTTGTATTAAATTCTTTATAATGAACTTTTGAATCAACAGGCTCAAAGCTCAAATTTACAACAATTAAGTTGAATTCTTTTGGCCTGTAGACCTGTTTTTACAGGCCCAACAGAAATTTTACAAGGCTAGGCTGGTGTACCTGTGGTTCAGTGTGAAGACTGGGCTATTTTAGTATATTTTGATAGATTTGACAATTTTAAACTTTATTAGATAAATAAGAGTTGCAGTTTAAGAGTTGAAATCTGACAAAATTACAGAAACTTTTCTTTTGCAGCTATGGAGGGTATTCTAGTAAATCACGGTCTGTGACAGAAATCCATATTACCTTGACTGGGTTAATTATGATGATCTCATATTGTTCTATCTCAGGGTTCGCTGGTGTCTACTCTGAGTACATTCTCAAAAGACATATCAAAGTGAGTTTAAACATGCACATCATTTGAACTCTGGTGGATTGTTGTCTCATTGGCAATCATACCACATCTTCTTATTTTTATATAGTAGTTCTTGATGGTGTCTAATAGAATGGAACATGTCTAGATCAAACCATTAGTAACATAAACCAGTCTAAACCGATCTTTGAATTAACCAAAACCTGTCTTTACCGAACTTTGAATTAACCAAAAACCTGCCTTAACTGAACTTTGAATTAACCAAAAACCAGTCTAAACTGAACTTATGATTAATTAAAAACCTGTCTCAATCAAACATGTTTGACTTTGAAAATGTGAACCATGCTGAGTTGGATGTCTATGATTTTGTCATGCATAATAAGGGAGAAATGTACAAAAAAGCGCTGGGACACACCAATGTATTGTTTTTATTATTCACCTTTCTGGTCATTGTTGGTGTACTTGTTGAAGTGAATAAAAAGTATATTATCAAAAGTTTCAGGGGAGGAAGCTCATATTCAACATAACTACAAGTAAGAAATGAATTAAAAAAAAGTATATGTTGAATTAATATTTAAAAGTAATAGAGATCTTTTGAACAATAGGATGTTTTATTAAAATAGTTGTAGCCGTTTCATATTTGTCACTACATGTTGAGTCCTTAGTCTATATACTTTCTTTGGGTTTATTAAACATTTTCATGTACAATATTCAGCTCTTTTTTTAAAATCAGATTGACCTCATTAAAAGGCTATAATTGTAAAATACTGCAGATTCATTATTATTCATGGGCTACCAATTTTATAGGATTTTGTGGTTAAAGCTAAACCAAGAATTTAAATGTTCAACAAAATACAAATATTTTACAGGCTTGTAGGCAGACTTTGACAAAACCAAAAAATCAAATATCTACAAAAATACAGTTTTTCCACAGTTCACAAAAATTGGTATGAACCACAAAAATCCACAATAGCATTATATAAACTTTTCAATATCATTAATTTTTTAATTTTTAATGCGATTGTTAATTCAGTGTTGCACTATGATACTGATCTCCTAATCTATCTTAATTAGTACAAGTCAGTAGGAATGCTTTTCAAATCAATTTCCCAATTAAAAAAGGCTGTTTGCTAACACTGAATTCAATTATTGTTTATTATCATACAGTAATTATATATATGGTAATACATTGTAAATGCTTAATGTTGTAACTTTTAACGCTATGTTCTTTCTGTCACAAAAAAAGCCTAGTTTTAATTTTATGGATAGTGTCCCAACCTATTCTTGACATAATCTAAATACTAGTTTTCAATAGTTTCAATACTGTAAAATATTCAGCTCTTTTTTTTACATCAGATTTTGATGCAGGTTTTTTTTGTGTTCTATTTCTTGGTGTATATACGAAGATGTAATTAATGCAGCCTATTCGGTTCTTGAATACATCGTAATTAAATCTTTTAAAATTATTTCTGACTTTTTTGCAGATGTCCCTTCACTTACAGAATATGTTGTTATATATATTTGGTGTGTGTGTGAATGGTACAGTTTGGTTTATACATGAACTAAGTAATCCAGAAATTGGTAAGTAAAAAGTTGTTATTCAGTCATTTTATAATTTGAGATGTTACAATGTTATTCTTTATTTTTATAATTATGGTCATCTTTTCTGAACCTTTAGAACATGCTTTGACTAAAAGGAGATGTAGATATATTTCATTGAGACAGCCATGCAACAGAAATACCAAGTAAAATACATTTCGAGTGCAACATACAGTCTTCAACAATAGACTGATGTCTATGCAGTAGTTCAAGCTGTAAATAATTTGAGTAAAAAAAGTTAGGAGTATTAAAAGGAAACTATGAAAGAAGTGCCATAATCACCAAATTCTCCAAATAACAATTAAGACAAATTTGTTAAGAGATTTGATTGTCCTTGATCCTCATACATATTATAATTTTATTTTCAGAGGATAGATTCTCATTGTTTAGAGGATATACTGGTTTAACAGTTGTTATCATTTTATCACAGGTAAGAAATAAGAAATCCTTTTATAGCTTTTTGCATTTGGTTTTTTGTCCTGTCTGCAATGAATTCGTGGAAGGGGAGACAATCGCGTGCTTTTCCGGTGATGAAAAGGGCGGCATTGTCAGCGTCAACAATTGTTAAGTTTCTGCCTATGTTAGTTTGATAAGAACTACTTGTGATAGATCAATGATATTTCATATAAAGTTGCATTACTATCAGTACATATCAGTTTGGTGACTTTTTTTTACCCTGCCCCCTAGGTCATGGTGCAGTGACTTTGAATGAATTTTTTTCAATGTTAAGTTTTCTGCTTAAGTTAGTCTGATAGAAACTACTTGTGATAGATCAATGATACTTTTTATAAAATTGCATTACTATCAGGACATACCGGTTTGAAGACTACTTTGAGGCCCTGCCACCTAGGTCATGGTCCAGTGACTTTCAATTAATATGGAATTTTCAATGTTAAGTTTTTCTGCTTTGCTTATTTTAGTTTGATGGGAACTACTTACAATAGACAACAATATTTTGTATAAAGTTACATTTCTGTCTGTACATCTCAGTTTGTCAACCATTTCGAGGCCCTGCCCACTAAATCACAGCTGTTTTGTCCGTACTAGTTCATGATCTAGCTACTTTGAGTTAATTAGCAATGTTGCTGTCCATCAGATTTTATGCAGACAGGCAAGACATATCTCTGTGTCAACAGTTTATTATTTGAAAGAATACCTTTTTCAACATTTTTATTTATGTGTAAACTTACCTTATTCACTTACAAACTAGTTAAAGTCTGAAGGCCTAGTTTTGTAAAGGATTAGTTTACACATAAATAAATTCCATAAAATAACCTTTATAACTTTTTATAATTCCAATGAAATGCTCTAAAAAATGTATTTTCATATCAAAATAAATGGATATTTACAGAACAATTGTGTTTGCTTACGAAATAAATACTTGCAAAACCAAGAAAGGAATTTATCTAACCATGTGTAAATTTTAAGGTTTTCATGATTAATCGATGGAAATTAAGATTACTTGCAACATTGGAAATTCTACCCTATGTAATCTATTCTCATGACAACAAGGAGAAAAATGGCGTTATTTTCTGTTGAATGTATGCAATACTTTCTTTTTCATTTCAGGCTTTAAATGGTTTGATCATGTCTTCCATAATGAAGTACGCTAGTAACATTACACGACTATTTATAATATCCTGTTCGACACTGATCACAGCTGTTTTGTCCGTACTAGTGTTTGGTACAACTTTAAATATGTATTTTATTATGTCTGCTGTTCTAGTGTGTGTTTCTATTTATATTTATTATATGAAATAGACAAACAAAATGTTTTTTACTTATTTATTTATTTATTTATTAGGTTAAAATCAGTTAACCTTGTTCGTTGTTTTTGTTCTTACTGATTGACATCAATTTTCAACATGGTTTTTTTGAGGAATCTTTTTATAAATTGAGGAAAAAATTGCACAAATGAGGGTATTTTCTTTCAGAATCTTTTCAAATAATGCAAATTTGTATATCTGTCAGGTCATTTGCCTTTTAGAGGCATACCTGGAACATTAACGCATAACACTAACAATTTGGTCACCTGTTTAAAAAAATATCCCTGTTTATCACCTGCAATTTCAAAAATTTTATGACTGTGGTTGAAAAAAAAGGGATAAAGTTGCCACTTTTGCAAGACTCAAGTACTTTGTTTATCTTTTAAAATGAAGATTTTATGGACCTTGATATATCAATGAAGTTAACTGTAATACACATGTCTTCCTATTAAGATTGCTCAATATATAGTTTTATATAAAAAAGAAAACCATTGAAAATGGGGTGTAAAATTATCTGCACTACTCATCTAGATATAAATGTATTGTTATAGAAAACTAGTCATATCTTAGACCGAGAACACAGTTATTTCGTAGTGCATTTCTTTTAGATAGTCTTTCCATTCATCAGTCCCATTTTTGTTGCAAAGTTTGAGCAGGGGCATTCGTATCCTCAGACACATTCTTCTTTTATTTTTACGTGTAATTTCATCCCCCTACTTACTATTTTATGCATAAAATATAAAGAATTTTTAAAGGTGTCTGAAAAAATTTGCAAATTATACACTGTCCACACAAGAGACTCTATTTGTAGACAAGGAAAAATCAAAGGACGATAACTGTGTCCCTGGACCATATATAATAACACTTTATTCTGAGTATATACTATTCTTGTTATTTATTCAGTTGATGTCATAAAGTAATATGGGTTTCTTGAGAACCATGTTTATGAAAGTGGGTTACGGCTGCTTGATTTATATTTGTGGTTTAATTGTGCGAGGGTGTTGTTGTATATATATTGCTGTCTATTTTAATTAGTCATAGAGAGAAAATTCATATGTTACAAATATTTATACCTATATTTTGAAAAAGAAATCCAAAGAACTGTGTTAGAATTAGAACATTATATCTTAACATTGTAGACTACTGTAAATTCAGAAATTAATGTGTGCATTTATTATTACAAATCCTTCACCAATGGCAACAAAGCAAAGTCTAATTAATGCGATTGCAAAAATGTTATGAAATCACTTGTGAAATTATGAATGCAACTTTTTTTTTATTGCAAAATTGATACTAGAAAAAGAAGTGGAGACATGAAAAGGCATTTTATATAATGATAATACTAGATAAATTTTCTTTAAAAAAAAATAATGGACATACTATGAGAGGGGGAGATTTGACTGTTCACAAGGAGACTGTCTCCTGCTTCTCTTCCAATTTGGTAAGTCTTCTAACATGAAGTTTGTAATCTAGAAACATTTTTTTTTCCCCAAAGCTTAAATTTATTAAAGTCCTCAACTGTATTATGATCATTGGATTACTGACTGTAGAATGTGACCTCGCAATAATATCTGATTGAAAGACTCTTACTTGAATATATACAGTAAATACATTAATTATTCTTACTTTGTTGTTGGATATGGAAGATTTGCTATAATAAATGCACACATTATATCATGAATTAAAATATTTTATCAGTACTATTGAATGTTTATTTTGAAATGTTAATATGAAAGTGTGTTAAGACTGTGATTACACATTTAAAAATCAAAACCTTCAATAGTTTACAGCTTTATTTTTGTCAATCATATTGTTTACATTGTTCTTATAATTTTATAGCTGTTTACATGTTTAGATTTATTATATAATTTTTTTCCAATTACATCATCATATACCTTAGCAATTGGAAAATATTTTTAAAGCTGTTTTTCTGTGAATATAGTTTGTACAACAGGATTTGACCTTTCTTTTTTGAGAAAGGTTAGCTGCAAAATTTTAATTTATAGATTAATCATCAGTTATTATTATATATCTTTAGTTTTGCAAATTGGTTAGCAAATGTACACATTTAGTTGCTGCACTTTCCACAAAAAGTCAGCAAAAATATGTTTAATAGCCTGTACCGGTATTTTTTTCAATATAAAGTTGGAAAATGTAACTATAAATGTCCTAATTTTTAAAAAGAACAATATTTAAGTATTGTGCAAATTTTAACCTGAAATTCAAGATCCATGTCTGAATTGGATTAATTGTAGGTGTTAATGAAACTTTCAGCACTTCATACCTGCCAAATTTCAAAATTCCCTTGGGGGTTTTACTTGCAAGATGGCTCTTATAGTCCTAAAAAACCTTCAAGGGGGCCTTCAAATGTATTTTAATGATATTTTTTTTTACTTCTTCTTACTTTTAAAAGCCTGCAGCCATTGTAAAATTAACTGTATTATTTAAAATTGTGGACAAAATTGCTCTTTCAAAATTTCAATTTGGGAGCTTTCATGGGGGAAATCCCCCGCAAATAGTGACAGTTGGCAGGTATGGCACTTTGCTGTATTGTAGTGGCCAGTTTTTATTGGTGGAAGAAGTCAGAGTGCCTGGAGAGAACCATCACCATTGCCCATCCTAGTCAATTAAGATGGAAGTCGAAAGCACCTGCAACAATCAGGGTTGGAACTCACAACCTCAGTGCTGACAGGCTTGTGATTGCTGATGAGCTACTTAGACCACTCAGCCACTGAGCCACTGTCTGAATTGGAATCTGTAAAAATTTTCATTTCACTTTCCATTGAAAAAATTTTGAATGCCACTACTTCAATCTAATTAAAATAAGTTCTCCATACTTGCTCCTCATTTTCATTTCAATTGTTTATGTATCACCAAGGATTTGTATGGTATCACATTTATAAAAGATAACATATTATATGTTTGAAATGGTTTTTTTTTTTACTAATAATCATGAAGAACAATATCCTAATGATTGAATTAAGTTCACTTATCAATGGTAATTATTTTAGATTGAAACAGAGTAGCACACCTACCTCAACACATATGGGCATACACACTATGAAGTACAAGGTTTTATTCCACATCAGGAAGATGTTTGTGGGACAATTGGGAAGTTTAAATGTGGGACAATTTAAAAACCTTGTTGAGATGTTTTGTTAATTTTTGTTTTTGTTTTTGATTTTTGTTCTTTTTTTTTCTATCGCTACACATGTGTAAGGTTAGGAGAGTTGAATGCTTGTTATGTTAAGGAAGATCATAAAAAAGAGTGCATTTTTGTGTAATTGCAATAAACACTGTGAACAATTACCTTTCAGCAGGAAAATATAAGAAATATCATTTGTATACACATTGCATGAAAATAAACCTTTTTCACATTTATAAAATTTTATGGGACAATCGGGAAGATGTTTGTGGGACAATTGGTAAGTTTAAATGTGGGACAATTGGGAATTGTTTTGATAGTTATTTTATTTGTTTTTAAAGTATGAAGCAGGTAATTACAGGTAATTCAATGTAACTTATAAAATTTGAAATAAACATGGAGAAAAAATGGTATTTACATAAACATATATATATATATATATAATTACTCTAAATATATATATATAATTGAAAAATTTAAAGGTATCAAGGATAAAATAAAAAATGAAAGATGTGTTATAAAGAGAAATACAAAAATACAAAATGTTGATTTTATAGATATTGGTCTAACATTAACACAATAAAAAAAAATTAACCCCAGCTGGGTCAAACAAAAGAAAGGAAAGTTAGAATTTGCTGCTTCTCCGCAAAGCACTCTGCATTTTTAAGTAAGAGCAAAATCTGGTCGGCCCTGAGTCAGAATAATTTGTCTGCATGTGTAGTGTGACATGTCTTCCTGCAGACTGTTATCTTGTGAAATATCACATATACAATCCGGCTTGAAGTGTTGGTCTATATAAAAATAAGGTGATGTGGTATGATTGCAAATGAGACAGTTATCCAACAGAGTTCAAATGAAGTGAATGTAAGGAAAGAGTAAAATAGCAAAAAATAACTCCAAGGAAAATTCATAACAGAATCAAATGGCAAAATCAAACTGATGATTTTTTCGACAATTCATATTTACATTTATAAAACTGATATTAACTTCAAGTATGTTCATGCCATTATTAATTTTAATTTGATATCGCAAAACAAACAGCAATTACATTGTTTATTTAAAAACATTTAACATAATAAAATAATGTGGGACAATCAGAACTCCAAAATTTCAACAAGTGGGACATCGGGAATAAATAAACCCATAAATTGCAATTTCAGAATTTGCCATTTTCTTGTTTTTAAGGAAGTCATTAAATTCAGACTTTTGATCAATTTTTCAATTGTTATTTGTTTTTGTGAGCCTATTAGAATTTGTTATATAATATGGATTGTTTCTTATTGTTGAAGGCTGGAGGCAATATCTTTAGATGTTAATTTTATTCCCTTTTTCCACCCAAATCCATTGTGAATGGCTGCCTCATTTTTTGAATATTCCACCTTTTTATTTTTATTTGACAAGCTTCCTTTGAACATATACTGTAGTAAAAATAAGGAAATATTTAATTCATTTCAGTCTTAAAAAATCAATAAATAGTGATAGACAAATGCCTTTATAAACATGTATTAATGCTAAAAATATATCTAATACATAAGTCAGAAAGTTTCAATTGAGAGGGATTGAAAAGTTGCTAAAAATTATTGACAGTTACCATATTTATTTTTCTTGAAGTTGCTCAAAAGTTGGCGCAATGAGAAAAAAGGGTAAAATTAGTTGTTGTCAATACTTACTTTGAAACTTGTTATTAAGAACATTTTACAGTAATAGCTTTATTTTTAAGAAATCTGAAATAAATTATTTTAGCATTGTTTATTGTCTATTTTATTTCTAAAAGAGATGTGGAAGATACCAAAGGGGTATTCAAACTCATATAAGTGAATGACAAACTGACAACGCCATGGCAACAAAATTGAAAAAAAAAACAAAAAGAAAATTAACAATTGCTCACTGACACTGGTGTTCAATTAAACCAAAAACAAAACATTTGTAGTAGGATAAATTATTTTTTCAGGAAATCAGTATCACAATTATCAGGATGCAAGGTAAAATTCAATGAGTCAGCAACCTTTCAACACAAAAAGAACCAAAAAACTTTGAGAAAGTAATACTATGTAGCAAATCTACCCTAAAACTGTAATGCCAATTGGTCCAAATATAATTCTCATTCAGGAAAAATTTCACTCATGTTAATTATTTGCTAGTTTTGATAAACAGCAACTTCAAAAACACGATATTTTGTCAAGTATGGCTTCTTTTTCAAATGCTATTGGTTGAATGGGTGAAGCGACCCCTACAGGACAAACCATTTTGTAGGTAGCTTTTTGAACCACAATCAATATCAAAAAGTTATTTATTTGTGATACCTACACTGGGGGAGTATAGTATGAATTTTGAGCTGCACTCATTTATTTTCTCATTTGCGGTAAGTGTGTTAGTTGATGAATATCACATGTTTTGTTTCTTTGATAATAGGTGGTAATTGCTGCATGAATGAATTAATAGTAAATACACAACACTTATCCATATTCATAAATGTGAATATTTTGTTAAAAACAAGGAAATATTTGAATCTGGAATAAATTTGAATTCTGGAAAATTAATAAGAAATGTATGATGAAAACTAACCTAACTAAAGAGGATTAGCCATGCACGCATGGCTAAGGTTAATTTTACTTTCACTGATATTCAGTATGAACTAACTAACCCCCTGCATGGCTAACCTTCCTAAATTGGGTTAGTTTTCATCATATATTTCTTATCAATTTTCCAGAATTCAAAATTATTCAATATTTAAATAATCCCTTGTTTTAATAAACAATGGAAATATGTAATACAAATTGTGTGTAGTTTTCCTAGGAAGAAAAATTAAAATTTCAATTTAAAAAAAAATAATAATAATAATAATAATAATAATACATGTAATAATAGTTCTTTATTTAAAGAGGGTTACACAGTTAGCTGTAAAACTAATCTTCCATGAGGCCCTCATGATAATACATTGAAATATAACAAACAAACAAATACAAAAACAATCAAACAAATACACAAATACACACATTAGCTAATATGTAGGGAATTAATAAATCACAAACTTTCCTTTATTCATTTTAATATTAAATTTCCATTGTTAGTTATAAAAATGTTAAAATAAACAAAATTTCAATTAACTTCATTGTTCCTGTCCTGGAGTGGTAATATCAGAAACTGGACATAATCATCTCTCCATATTAACAAACTCAGTTTTTTGTTTCAAACATCTGTTTATTAAGTAATATTATCTGTCCCTTTATCAGCATGAGATGGCAGATTTACAGCTCTACTTAACCATTTTATAATATAATAATCAACAGTAAATTTCAAACTATATTTCTTCTCTAAAATAAGATAATCATATGATGGTATATCTATTTTTAACTATGACTCTACTAAACTGGACATTTGCCAATTATGGTCCAATATCCAAAATCTAAATACATGGTTGGAATCAGCATATCAAAGAACCCCAAGAATTCAATTTTTGATGAAATGAAACAAAGTTGAATTTTGGACCCTGTGGACCAATTTAATAAAGAGACCCAAAATCTAAAATCTAACTACACGCTTAGATTCAGCATATCAAGGAACCCCATATATTCAGTTTTTGTTGAAATCAAACAAAAGTTTAAATTTGCACCCCGATTTGGACCAACTTAAAAACTGGGCCCAAAATCAAAAATCTGAATACACTGTTAGATTGGGCATATCAAAGAACACCAATAATTAAATTTTTGATGAAACCAAACAAAGTTTAATTTTGGACCCCGATTTGGACCAATTTGAATACTGTGCCAAAAAAAAAACCTAAATACATGCTTAGATTCAGAATATGAAAGAGCCCCAAGAATTTATTTTTTTTTTAAATCAAACAAAGTTTTATTTTTTAACCCTTTGGACCTTAATGTGGACCAATTTGAAGACAGGCCCCAAAATTAAAAATCTAAATACACTGTTAGATTCAGCATATCAAAGAACACCAATAATTCAAGTTTTGATGAAATCAAACAAAGTTTAATTTTAGACTTTAATATGGACCAATTCAAAAACAGGGCCAAAAATCTAAATTCTTAATACAGGGTTAGATTCAGCATATTAAAGAACCCCAACAATTCAAGACTTTGAATTAAACCCCATTGAAATTGGTCAAGAAATAAGCAATAAAATAAAGTATTACAAAAGTATTGTTTTTGGCCCCTTTTTCCTAAACCGTTAGGGTCATAACCCACAAAATCAATCCCAACCTTTCTTTTATGACATAAAACCTTGTTGCTTAATTAAAAAGCAATCCATAGACTTATACTCAAGTTATTGTCCATAACCTGAAAATCCTAGTTTTTGGCCCCTTTTGTGCCCCTAATTCCTAAACGATTAAAATCATTTCCAGCCTTCCTTTTGAGGTATGGAACCTTGCCGTAAAATTTCATAAAGGTCCATACACTTATACTGAAGTTACTGTCCTGAAACAAGAAAAATGCTTGCTTTTGGCCCCTTTTAGGCCTCTTATTACTAAACAGCTATGAAAAAAATCACCAAAATCAATCCCAACCTTTCTGTTGTGGTATGGAACCTTGTGCTAAAATTTCATAGAGATCCATACACTTATACTGAAGTTATTGTCTGCGAAACCAGAAAAATGCTTGTTTTTGGCCCCTTTTTGGCCCTAATTACTAAACAGCTATGACAATAACCTCCAAAATCAATCCTAACCTTCCTATTGTGCTAAAATTTCATAAAGATCCACACACTAATACTCAAGTTATTGTCTGCTACCCAAAATGTCTTAGGACAACTAGAAAAATGATTGTTCTTGGCCCCTTTTCGGCCCTTAATTACTAAACGGCTATGACAATATCCCCCAAAATCAACCCCAACCTTCCTATTGTGGTATGGAACCTTGTGCTACAATTTAATAGAGATCAATACACTTATACTCAAGTTATTGTCTGCAAACAAAAATGTCTTCAGACGACAAGAAAAATGCTTGTTTTTGGCCCTTTAATACTAAACAGCTATGACAATAACCCCCAAAATCAATCCCAACCTTCTTTTGTGGTATGTGCTAAAATTTCATAGAGATCCAAATACTTATACTCAAGTTATTGTGTGCAAACCAAAATGTCTTTGGAAGAAGACGCAGACTTCGCCATAGCATAATACGAGTGCAAAATTTTGCGGTCGTATAAAAAGGGCAATAACAAAAACTTTTTATGTTATTGCCCTTTGATAGATAAAATATATGCAACGTGGAGGACATTGGAACTTTTTTTTGTTCTTTAGGTTTCATAAAAAAGCATGGCCAACGTATGATACAAGAATATTGTCTTAGGGAGGGATTAATCCTACTTTGTAAAAAATCACTCCGATTCAAACAAAAAATTCTCTGAAACTGACATTATCAAGATGCATGATTTCTTGATTGACAACATATTTGTTACGTTTGGAGGACATGTTTTTCAACAAACAATCAACATTCCCATGGGAACTTACTGTGCCCCTCTTCTTGTCGACTTGTTCCTTTATTCATATGAGGCTGACTTCATACAGGAACTTCTTAGGAAGAAAGAAAAGAAGTCAGCAGTATCCTTTAATTTACTTTCCGCTATATAGATGATAATTCAAAATTTTGTGACTATGTTGAACGCATCTATCCCATCAAACTTGAGATAAAGGATACAACAGATACAGTTAAGTCTGCCTCATATCTTGACTTACATCTAGAAATTGACAATGAGGGTCGGTTGAAAACAAAACTTTACGACAAAAGAGATGATTTCAGCTTCCCAATTGTGAACTTTCCATTTCTATGTAGCAACATTCCAGCAGCGCCTGCATACAGAGTATATATCTCCCAGTTGATTCAATATTCCAGGGCTTGTATTTCCTATCATGATTTCCTTGATAGAGGGTTGCTGCTCACAAGGAAGCTATTAAACCAAGAGTTCCAAGTGGTGAAGTTGAAATCATCCCTTTGTAAATTTTTCAGACGCCATCATGAGTTGGTTGCCGTTCTGGAATATCTGTTTCACAGATGATAGCGGATATGTTCCAAATGTCGTAACCACAATCCCGTCCCTTTTTACCTGAATGTGATCTACCTAATTAGACCTATTACTGGGTTTGTACTAACATGAGCAACATGACGGGTGCCACATGTGGAGCAGGATCTGCTTACCCTTCCTGAGCACCTGAGATCACCCCCAGTTTTTGGTGGGGTTCGTGTAGCTCAGTCTTTAGTTTTCTATGTTGTGTTTTGTGTACTGTTGTTTGTCTGTTGGTGTTTTTCTTTTTCAGCCATGGCGCTGTCAGTTTATTTTCGACTTAAGTTTGAATGTCCCTTTGGTATCTTTTGCCTCTCTTTTACAAATATCTTAGAGAAACGAAGGCTTGAGAGCAAATACAATGCAATTTCCAATATAATATTTATTTCCAAAAAGTATAATTCTTTTAAAAATATTTGATTGGCACTGATTTGCGAACTTGTCCGAGACATTGCTCATATAAACCTTTGATATAAATTTGATAAAAATCTAGCAAGAATTGTACTTATGAGAGCGCTAACAATGCAATTTTCCTTATAATTAATATTTCCAAGGAGTATAACTCTTTTAAAATTGTTGATCGGCACTGATTTTCAAACAAAGTCCAAGACATTGCTGATATAAACCAATAATATAAGTTTTATAAAATCTGTCAAGAATTGAACACATGAGAGAGCTAACAAGACTGGATGGACAGACGCCTGGTATTTCTATGTCCCCCACAACACATTGCACAGGGGACAATACAAACACTAGATGTGCTGGAATGATATGATTGTCCCTGCCTGCTGCCAAGTTCCAAGGCCATAATTCAGATCACCTACATTCCTACACAAAAAAATTCAGCTTTATATCTAAAGTCTGGACAACTTTTGGATTACTTAATGGCAAGACAGAGTGTTACAATGTGCCAGGTCCCTGAAATATGAAGGATGAAATCAAAGCAATTCTGTTATATCAATTCAAATGTATTTATTTTATTTCAGCATTTTTACAATACTTTCATTATAGACATTAGTGTTAAAACAGCAATCAGAAAGATATAGATAAATAATGCCGTTTACAAAATAAATTAATGTGTATTACACACAAAGCCGTCTGCAAGTTTCTACTGCCTGTAAAGGCCTGACAAATGTTTTGAGAAGTTCCCTTTTATGTGGCTTGATGGACAACCTGTCAATTTGTAACGGACCAATAGAAACTTGTTCAATCAAACTGTGAAAACCAATGACTAACTAATCAGACAATGCACCATCCATTCATCTTCTTTGTTTGAGGAAGAGGTTGGGGTTGGGGAGGGGTGGGATATAGTTTTTTTATTTTTAAAATATTCAGTCTAAAATTCTAATGGGTTAAAGAAAGGGAGTGAAAAGAAAAAAAGACAAGGGATAAAAAAAATTCTTGTTCCTGTATGTAATCAAAAATTTTTATGGGTTAAAGTCGAAATAAATTGTATGCCCCAATATAAAAAAAAACAATAATCCACCAAAGAAGATGAATGGTTAGTGCCTAATGGATTTAAATTGAATTTTTAAATAGGTTGTAGCTTTACTGAAACTGCAGTCGTGCAATACTGAAATGTCTTGCAATATTATCATGAATTCTTTAAGAATGAACCTTAAAGAGGCTCTTTCTACAAAAAAACATGTTTTGAGGTGACCACTAAACAGCTGTGAAAATGTCGTAATTTGTTAAATATCAATGAAAAAAGATGTTTTGGGACTTTAATGAATGTAATTAAGAGCAAAAACCCTTATTTTTTTTTTTGTCATCTGTTAGGCCAGAGCTCTTTATTTATACCATAATGGTTAGTCACGTCACAAGCCAAGACAGAATGTCTTAAAGGCCATGTAAAATCTCATTTTCCATACTTATCTTATGTTCTGAATTACAACATTGCCTAAATCATGAATATGATTTTTACTACAAACTCACAATCTCATTAATTTCATATCTCTAAAATTTTAAATCATAAATTCATGTACTTGTCATTATTAAAATTGTTGTGTATGTTCAGGTAAAGCTTTTGCAACTTTGTTACCAACTTTAAGTTCCTTTGAGGCCCTAAATTTATCTCCTCGTAACACTGTTTCCCTATATTTATCGTGGTCCTGGCATATCTTGCAAATACTTATATATTATCTCTTTATTTAGCCAAATTAGTCAAAGTTGTTGGTCTATCAAAATTCAATTTTGTTTTGGTAAACACATTTTATTATTAAATAGAACTTAACCGCCTGCACATTTATAAGGTTAATCCAGGGTTATATGAATATGGGGCGGGTTTTCAAACGATTCTCATCACAATTTTCACAATAAAAACATTGAAAAATTTCTGAATTGACCATATTGGATTACTTCATCCCTATCCCCTGCAAATAATAATTGAGGAATATAGCGTTTTTATTATTTTCAAAATCTCTTCTTTTACTAAACTATCATAGATAAACATAGTTTATAAAAATACAAAAATGCACATTTTACATTCAAATGCTAAAAATTCATATAAAATTAGCTGCCAGGCTACAGGAAAACCACAGGTTTTAATTTAAGCTAAAGAAAAAAAAGCTGATATTATAAATTTGAATTATAACCAGGGCTTCCAAAACGGTCATATATTCCGGACTTGACCGAAACTTTCATAAAAAGACCGGCTGCTCTCAGCCTCAAACGGTCAAATAGAATTGGTGTGCCACATTTTGTTATTCAAGGCATTTTCATGAAACGGTCATTCCAATTTTTACCAACTATCGATCGATAAAAATGTCCGTTTGGGGCTTTGGGCATGTCCGTTTGGGCATTTTAGTTTATAATTGTGGCAATCTATTTCACAAAGATATTTCGGTCCTAATTGGGTAAAATAAAACAGAAGCAGCATATTTCAGATACTTTGAAGTGTCTCAGTTAGTCTAATCCTCTGGGTACATAAATGTACGGCTTGGTCTTCAGCTTGTGTACATCAATAAATAGTAGAAAAAACACGTTTTCTTTTATTTAAATAACAACAAGCTGTCAAACAATTATCCCTTCAATAAGTTATATTGAAGCCATAAATCATTCACTGATTACAGGTTTGTTACCTTTGATGAGGTGTCCTTAGCTTGTCTTTATCAATAGAATTAATGATGCATAACAATGTACATAAAGGTAATCAGGTAAACGAGGTCAAACATGTAAGCGTGTATGGAACAACATCCTATTTAATTACGCTTTATAGATATTATTTTAAATGAGCATTGAGTTTAAAAAAGTATCCTGATATTTAAAAGTTATTCTTCAAATAAGGATATTTATAAATGAATAAGTATGATATATATTATTTTATTTAACACTGTACATCGTGTTAAATACTGGGGTACTCTCAAGGGGAAAATTTACTAAAATATATAGGAAAAACACCGAGAATAGCTTCGCTTGGGTATACCAAGCTGAGTTGTCCAATAAATAAGGGGGGGGGCGTTCTCTATTCTTGTTTTCATATCAAAAACTGTTTTTATAATTAAAATCATAAAGAATAATATCCAATCATGACAATCTCCGACTGTTATAAAGACTTTGTCTCAAATTGAACTTTACAAATCTGCGATCATGGGCAAACGTAAACGTGACGATTCCGATCAAAATTCGAAATCGTACAAAGATAAATGTTATCACTGTTCAGTAGATTTTACACCGTTTAAAACAATATCCTTCATTGGGCCTCCTCAATGTTATCTATAAATACCACATCAGTTGTAAAAGTCACGTGGTCAGGTAATCAATACACAAAAAGAAAAGTATCACGTGTATTGATGATTAAGTTGTACTGCAATTAAAGCCAACATCAACAGTTTCAAATAAGATGGCCTTAATTTACAAAGTGTTACTAGTACTCACAGAGAGAAGATAGATTATATAAACAGAAACAAAAACATGAGAACAGTCAGGTACTGAAGCTGATTGATGCAATGATGGTTACTGTATTACGATACACAGAAAAATGACACAATACCGAGGATAATATTTTATTTTTTTTTAGAATGAAGAAAACAAAACAGTTATAAATAATTTTATTGCATATAACACTACTAATTATTTTTACACATATATCAATTTATGCATCCTCTCAGTTACATTTAAGTATCCAGCTGATCATTGACCGTCAAAAATATTTCTTTGAAAAATGTCCGGCTGTTGTCAGGAAATTTTGGAAGCCCTGATTATAACATTGTATACACATTTGTTTAAAACCTTCTTGAAGATCTTTTATGTTATAAAGATATGTGATATGGTTGCCAATAAGACAAATTTCCACTAAACATTGAAAGAAAAGGTGATTATTAAACATGTGTATATTACTGTAAACCAACTTATTTTTGCAACTTTTGAGAGTAGAAAAATAACATAAATATAAATCATCGCTTATATATTTAACTTCCATCTTCTCTTACATAAATACATCCAGAAAATCAGAAAATCATGAAAATAAAGTATCTGCTAAAATAAGTTGGTTTACAATATGCCAAAACAGGATTTTCTACAATGAGAAAAGATTCATAACCTGATGCCAGCTATAAAATGCCCCCATTTAACCAAAAGTGAAAAATTCAAGAGACAACTATTTTGTTCTTTCAGGAATTTGATGTTGATAACAGATCTTTAATACTTAGTGTTTTATTTATCAAAACTTTTCATGTCTCCTGACAATTTGAAAAAGTAATTATTGCTTACCAAATGAAAATCTTCCACAGATTGATCTCCTCTTGGTCAAGATATTTAAACTTTTGTCAATTCAATTGTCCCATTGAATAAAATTGAGAATGGAAATGGGGAAAATGTCAAAGAGACAACAACCCGACCAAAGAGCAGACAACAGCCGAAGGCTTGAATAAATACAATAGCTATTGTTCTCTGTGTAGTTTACTCAATGGGACCCTTTTAAATTTCTTCTAAGAAAAATCCATCACTCATTGACTAATTCACCTGAATAAAAAATTATCTTCTAAGTAGACGAAAATACATGTATCTACTCACACAACTGCATGTGCTGTTGTATTTATTCAATATCAGTAATATATTTTCAAAGTTTAAATACCTTGACCAAGAGGAGACGACTCTGTGAAAGAGTTGTATTTGGTTCGCAATAAATACTTTTACTCAAACTAATGCCATCGTAGCCATAATGCCTTACTGTTTTTCCTAAAATCCATGATAACCCATTCTGTTGCAATAACAAACAGGAAAAAGATATGTACTGTGCATTTAACATTTACCAATCTCTAAATAATTATTCACTTTAATAGCATAAAATTTCAAATACAACTTTTAATTCTAAGCTTGTGAATTGAGCTGAGGCTAAAAAAAAAATCAAGGCTTGTGCTTCTCTTAGATATGCAAGATTGTTATAAACTAAAATACAGCTGCATATTTAATACAAATAAAAGCAGATGTGGGTATAAGTCAACCAGAAACTCAACAACATAACAAATATCGACCTTTCCCCACAAAACACTATTTTGGGTAATAAGGACACACAGCAAAAAAATTAGTTAATTTAAAGTACCTAACACCTTCTTCTGGATGATACCCGACTATAGTCCCTTAATCAGATTAAAGGAAGGGTTCATTAACTATTCATTGTTGGTAGTCTACATTTAACTTGAATAAATGATGGAACCCTATTGTCATTTTGTTAATTGAAGTTAAGATACACATGTTGATGCAATCAAGATATATTTTAAACTCCATTAGTATTCCCCATTTAATATTTACAGTTCTGATTTTACATTGTCTTTTGTCTCTTTCCCATCCTGAGACATTTGTGAATTCTGTTTCATTTCCTCTGATGGCACTGTCTCTTGTGACATTGTTTCTTCTTTATTAGTGTCCTTCAACTCAGAAGTTTCTTGATTTTCTGTATTTTGCGACATCTGTGATTCTTCTGTCACGTCCTGTGACATCTGTGAATCATCTGTCACTTCCTGTGACATCGGTGTTTCTAGATTTTCTATACCTTTGGATGAATTATTTTCATTGGCTTCCTCTGGTGTATCATCGAAGCCTTCTGGCAGCGGCGTTCCTGTGTGCTCACAATATTTTTTTGTTATAAATTTAAATATAGATTTCATACTTGTGTATGAGGTTAATGCATGCTTGTCTGTCCCTGTTTTAAAAAAATAGAAAATTTACATTTTTTATTAAAAACCAATAAAACCGCAATACTCATATAAATTCATTTTAAAATACATACTATAAGTTATATGGTTTGCTACTGATCTCCTACAGATCCATAGAGGGTTAGTAAAATCCATAGGTGGTGATGCCGAAGTCGCCGAATCTCCTATGGATTTTACTAACCCTCTATGGGTCTGAAGGGGGTCAGTAGCGAACCGTATAACGAATTTATCGCACACAGGACTTTTCCTGCTAAGTTATGTATAAAAATAAGCAATGAAATACATAAACCTTAATCGATGATGTCACCATTAATAGTAAACGAGATGTCATGAACCCTATATGAAATCTACTGACCCCATACAGATCCATAGGGGATCACCACATGACGCCGTTAAACCAATCATAACGTCATAATTTATCTGAGATGTGATAAAATTGTTATGTCAATATAATAAGTAATTGTTGTCAAACTCTTTATAATCAAAAGGGAAGCTTCAATTTCCTTTTTCAAATATTACAAATAAAACTAACGAGAATAAAAAAAGTCTTTTTACTAACTGTTTGATGTTTATAAAGTTTTATAGCTTCTAAACAAATCCAATTTTTCTCTTAAAATTTCATACTTTTTGATTATTAAAGTCCATTGACTTTTGAAAAACATATCCAAAATTGTACCAAATCATAACTGTTTTTCATTTCATCACTCCAAACATTGCCTTCAAAAGTAATGAAAATCTGTAAAATCAAACATGAACTATTGAATGACAACGAAAGTCCTTACAGATATATAGAAACTAATTCATTATTATTAGGCACCTACCAAAAACAACAAGTCTATATAGATTTATAAAAGCTCAAAAGTAAATATTACATGTTCAAGGTTTTACCGTATATTTGAAATACATGTTAAGTTCTTCACTTGTTCAAGTTATTAAACTTAAAATTTAACATAAAGTATAATTCAATATAAAATATCCAAATGAAATGCTCCGCTGGGTGCAGCTTGATACGACCACAGAGGTCGAAACCCTGAACAGTTGGGGCAAGTATGGACACAACATTCAAGCTTGATACAGCACTTAATTTGGATTGTGATTAAATATTTGACACAGCATAGGTTTCTGACACAGAATGAATGTGGTCTAAGAACTTAAAAAAAATTAATTTACCTATTTAAACCATATCATTATTATTTGCTTTTATATATAAATCAGAAATAACCAATTTAAAATGGAAAACTTTAAAGAAAGAAAAGGAAAAAAAATCCCCCCCCCAAATTTTTTGAACCCCCTTATGATTCATCACCCCCAAACTCAATCCCAGCCTTCCCTTTGTGGTATGGTACCTTGCAGTACAATTTCAGAGAGATCCATACACTTGAACACAAGTTATTGTCTGGAAACTAAAAAAATGCTTGTTTTTGGCCCCTTTTTGGCCCCAAATTCCTAAACATTTAGAACAATTACCCCCAAACTCAAACCCAGCTTTCCCTTTGTGATATGGAACCTTGTAGTACAATTTCATAAAGATCCATACACTTACACACAAGTTATTGTCATGAAACTAGAAAAATGCTTGTTTTTTGCCCCTTTTTTGGCCCCTAATTTCTTAACTGTTGGTACCATAACCCCCAAAATCAATCCCAGCATTCCCTTTGTGATATGGAACCTTGTGGTACAATGTCAGAGAGATCCATACACTAACACACACTTTATGTCTGGAAGATACAAAAAATGCTTATTTTTGGCCCCTTTTTGGCCCCTAATTCATTAACTGTTGGTACCATAACCCCCAAAATCAATCCCAACCTTCCTTTTGTGGTATTGAACCTAATGGTAAAATTTCATAGAGATCCATTCACTTAAACTTAAGTTAGAGTGCGAAAACCAATGTGTCTTCGGACGACGACGACATCAACGTCATACCAATATACGACCGCAAAACGCAAAACTTTTTGGCAGTCGTTTTTGCGGTTGTATAAAAAGTTGACTCTTCTTCTACTTTGATAATGCAAAGCTGAAAACCACTAATTCCAAAATGATTTAAGGTTCTTACCATAAACATTTGACAAACCATGAATATTGAAATTGACAAATAAAAGTACTTTCAATTCCTATTCTCTTACCTGCCGAAAGAGTTGGGGTATAATCTATATGCGTCTTTAACTTTGTATCTAATTTATCATAAGATGATGCCCAATTCACTCCTCGCTGAAAATAAATTATAGCACAAATATGAAAAGAAGTGGAGGTAAAATTTATTGAAACAGTACAACAAATATTAACTGCTTAAAAAAAAATCTTGAAGAAAACAGTCATTTGTTTAACAATTTTCTAAGCCAATGACATAATAATTGCTTTATGAATCAACTTTACTTAAGGAATGACTATAATATTTTTTCTGTCTATGAAGAAATAACATAAAAAATGTGGTGCACACTGAATAACACGTGTAGCGGGTTATTTAAAAGTGTGCACCACATTTTTTAGGTTATTTCCAATAGACAGAAAAATATTACAGTCATTCCTTATAATTTAATTCTAAATTCCATTTTTAAGGAGTAAATTTTGATAAAAAACGTTGGTGATGTCAAAATTATGTCTATGAGCTGATAGATAAAACACTTTCAGCCAATCAGAAGACGTGTTACATCCAAAATTAAATTATTTTAAAATATACTTGTATACTGTGGATTCCTTTACATTCGTGCACAAAAATTTATACCAGAAGAAGAATAATGAATACATAGTTCTTGCAAAGATCACTTGTACAGGCTTGCTCCATATCATTTAAAACTTGATCTAAGTCAACGAGGCATTCTAATATGACCTGTTTCTTTGGCTTTGTAAACGAGTGTGATAAAATTCTCGACATATCTATACTTAGTGCAGACTCATAGATGTACATATTAATGGTTGTTATAATTTAATTCCTACATAAATCCACATGTATCGTAACCTATGTGTAACCACTATGTCAATTTCTTTGTGTTCAAATTGAAATTGAAAAAGAAACTACAGGACCGTTATTAATCTAATGCATAACAACAACAAAATTAATGCTTAAGAGCTTAAAAAATGTATAAAATCAAGATAAAATTCTGCAAAATTTCATGAATGATCCTAGCGCATTGACGCCATGAAAATTCTCAAGCTGAAGGTTATTTCGTTACCTGGAGTTTTGAGTTAGGTGTTGCTTCATTTTCAATTTTTTCATTATTCGCACATTTATGGATATCAGCAAGTCAACATGGCAGCTCTTTCTTTTATTGTGACATGTCAACTGTGGATTTGACAGTAAATAGTAGCCAACAAAAACAAATGTCTGGGTTAAGAATCATAAGGATTGAACACTATTTACTAGTGGTTATTTAAGAATAATTCATGCAAGCCCTTAGATTTATTTGAAATTTGTAGCTATTATCTTACAGGGGGTAAAACAGAAGAGCCATACAGCCAAACAAATCTATAGCTTGCATAAAATATTGACAGGTAAATTTGACCTTAGACTGCTTTGGCTATTCCTTTTAGGATCCATTTGGTCTTATAGCGACAAGTATTTATACATCCATGGCATTTAAATATTTGGATACTAGCATTCCTGTTGAAGGTAAATCCAGAAAAGCGCTTTGGATGCACCAACATTTTTTTAAAGTGTTAGTTTCATTTTCAGTAAAACCATAATCTTACCTCTACAAAGAAGCTGATTGTCTCTTCTGTTGTTTCTTGGTGTTGAAAACTGTGGACAGAATCTGTAAAGGCCATAGCAAACACTCTCTCCTTAAATTCCTTCAAGAAAGTGTTCACCTAAAATTGAACAAAACATGCATAAAATAAAGGGACATAACTCAAGAATGGTAAAAGTGACGCTACCCAAATTCTTGCTTGATTTTTGTGGTATTAAGCAATGTGTATAAGTTTCATAACATTTGGTCAAGGCAAACTTGAGTAACAGAACAGAAACGAAAAATTCATTTATTTTTCCATTTGTAAAGGGGCATAACTCTAGAAAGGTAAAAGTGACAACACCCAAATTCAAACTTGATCTGTGTTTTGTGTTATTAAGCATTGTGTATAAGTTTCAAATATTTGGTAGAAGCAAACTAAAGTTAGAGAACGGAAACCAATTTCGGGACGTATGGACGGACAAGGGTAAAACTTAATGCCCCCTCTGCTACGGGGGGGGGGGGGGCATAAAAATTGCACCTGCTCTATCTCAATAAGATTTTTACAGTGTAGTGTACTACTTTTGGGACAAATAATATCAAAATTATAGAAAAGTCTACCCACTCCAACTCAAAATATGAACAATTTTATGTTAAGGGGGTCTATAATTCAGTTTGACAGCTTCAGAAATACTAATTTTTGACCTTTTTTAACTTTAAACGAAAATCAAAGGACGATAACTGTGTCCTCGGACCTAATGTTAGAAAATGACTACTATAAATTCAGAAATTATTGCATGTGTTTTACCATTTATGGGGTTGTTGAACAATCAACACAAACCCATGTTTAATTATTGCAATTTCAGGAAATACTGCATACAAATAATGCTATCTTAATTTCATAAAATACAAATTTTTATTTTTTTGGGACAACAATCACGTTGCAATTTTCCTAAAAATAAAATCATTGTAAAAATTTCTGAATTTACAGAATTCTTTTCACACATTTTCAAGGCTTTGCGATTGAAAAAAAAAATGTGCTTACTTTAAAAGTGGATATTTATTTTACTTTGATATTTACATTTCTTTCACAGCCCAGCTGACGGGAGGCATCCAGCTAGGGATTCTCTCATATTGACGATTTACCAGGCATTGATCAATGATGTTTGTAATTTATAATTTATATTCATTGTTTACCTTAAATCTTAAAATCCACCGAAATTGGTACCAAGGGATAATGAATCCAAAGTATATCAAAATGTTCTGCTGTCAATCAAATACATACTACTGCTTACAATACACAGGTAGGTATGTGTTTATGAAGCAGGATCTGCTTACCCTTCCGGAGCACCTGAGATCACCCCCAGTTTTTGGTAAGGTTCGTGTTGCCTAGTCTTTAGTTTTCTATGTTGTGTCATCTGTACTATTATTTGTCTGTTTGTCTTTTTATTTTTGGCCATGGCGTTGTCAGTTTGTTTTCGATCTATGAGTTTGACTGTCCCTCTGGTATCTTTCATCCCTCTTTTATGCCTTATATATGTACAAGCAATATTCTTTGGTTAAAACATCTGGAAAAAGTTACACAATCAAAAAATCTAAAACATTTACCCTTGCTGTTTAAGGATTTGTTTTTTGCTTTGGTTGGTTGAACAAACTTACCAAATTTAAAACACACACTCCACCGTAACTGTGAGCAACAATGGCTACATTCTTAGCCTGGGCAGGCTGAACAAATGTCTCCCACAAGTATGTAGTATGTTTTTCAGGACTCTCACTTCCCTATAAGATAAAATGTTAACCTTGTAAATATCTGCCAGTTTTTTTAAGTTTATTCTACATTGTCTCTCAACATTTTTGATACTTTTTTACATTCAATAAAGTCCCTAGCTACCTGTATATCTCCTAATATAAATCTTTTCACATTATGTGTACACTTACATACTGGCAAATGAATCCATATTCCTGTGAAATAAAATTCAGAACATCGTAATTCCAATTGATTTTTCTTTGGCATCATTTTGGGATCTGGCCTATTTTGCTATCAGAAGGTGCAATAACACAGTATTGAAACAAAAATGAAAAGAGTAAACACTATTACCAGACACATAGTCATAGTTTTCTGAGGGGTATACTGTAAATTCAGAAATTATTGCGAAGTTTTTATTAATGCGAATAATACAACTACTTGAGTATTGCAATAATAAAAACTCGCATTCTGATATCAAATACATATATCTGTATGTAGCTTTTGCAAAATTCGCAATATTTAAACTCGCAATTTTGTTAATTTTTCAAAAATAGTAATAACAAGCATTCCGTAAGTATTGCATGGCAATACATAGTCCCCTAACGGTTACAAATTCATTGTAATGGAACGAAATTCTAACTTGATCTATAACTTGTCATGGTGTAAACTACATAAAAATATCAAGTCAAAATCTTCAAGCATGACGAAAAAAAACTGTTGAAAACTGATTATTTAAGTGAATTTTCTATGTCCAAAGACAATAACTCTGCACAAAATTATCATAAAATTGAGAATGGAAATGGGGAATGTGTCAAAGAGACAACAACCCGACCATAGAGCAGACAACAGCCGAAGGCCACCAATGGGTCTTCAATGCAGCTAGAAACTCCCGCACCCGGAGGCGTCCTTCAGCTGGCCCCTAAACAAATATGTATACTAGTTCAGTGATAATGGACTTCATACTAAACTCCAAATTATACACAAGAAACTAAAATTAAAAATGATACAAGACTAACAAAGGCTGGAACAAAATTCCAAGTTGATCTGTAACTTGTCATGATAAAACTATATCCTAATTATCAAATCAATATCTTCAAGAATGACAAACAAACCTACCACTAAGTTCTTCAAACAATTTACCAAAGAAAAGCAAAACAATCCAAAATGTAATTTTGTCTTTTAAAAAATGAGTTATTTCCCTTTGAACAGAAATCTACTCATTAATAAGTATTTCATTAAAAATCTAATTCTAGGGAAAGGGCTTTAACTGAACAAAGAGAAAAGCTAAAATTGTGAAAATTGAACTTGACCTGTAACTTGTCATGATAAATCAATAATCCAAATATCAAATCAATATCTTCAAGCCTGAAGAAAAAAAGTCTGGAAAACTGATTTGCCGGACTGACAGATGGACAGACAGACAGACGGACGGAGTGCAAACCTAAAGTCCCCTTTGACTCCGTCTGTAGGGGACAAATAAATGCACGCAATAATTTCTGAATTTACAGTATCTGGTTTTTCTTTAAACACTCCTACCAGGCTGTAGCGGGTGTTAATTATTCTGAATCGGCAGACTTCGGGCTCAGGCAGGTGTTAATATTAGGCATATTGCTTTTTTTATTGCACCCTTTGCTAATATTATCACATGTTGATATAGGTGGGCTAACTTATGAAAGGTCAGTGAAAATTAACAAATGCTGTGTATCCAATGAAATGAATGGATAATATAACAAATATGCATAAAGTATAATAAATGACTTTAAACTTGATGAACACTTCTATCTTGTTTGTGAAAATGTGAAAATAAACAAATGCTGCATGTCCAATGAAATGAATAGATAATATAAGAAATTTGCATAAAGTATAACAAGAGTGCACACGCTGAAATGTCTCGCCTTCTTTACTAATCATTGATATTATGTTGATAGTCCTAAATATAAAGCTTTATTACAACTGTCACATAAACTTAACATTAACCAAGTAAACTAAACATTGACCAATGAACCATGAAAATGAGGTCAAGGTCAGATGAACCATGCTAGGCAGGCATGTACAGCTAACAATTCTTCCATACAACAAATATAGTTGACCTATTGCTTATAGTTTAAGAAAAACAGACGAAAACACAAAAACTTAACACTGAGCAATGAACCTTGAAAATGAGGTCAAGGTCAAATAAAACCTGCGTGACTGACATATAGATCATAAAATATTTCCATACACCAAATATAGTTGAACTATTGCATATAGTATTAGAAAAAAAGACCAAAACTCAAAAACTTAACTTTGACCACTGAACCATGAAAATGAGGTCAAGGTAAGATGACACCTGCCAGCTAGACATGTACACCTTACAATCATTCCATACACCAAATATAGCTGACCTATTGCATGCAGTATTAGAAAAAAAGACAAAAACTCAAAAACTTAACTTTGACCACTGAACCATGAAAATGATGTCAAGGTCAGATGACACCTGCCAGCTAGACATGTACACCTTACAATCATTCCATACACCAAATATAGTAGACCTATTGCATACAGTATAAGAAAAACAGACCAAAACACAAAAACTTAACTATAACCACTGAACCATGAAAATGAGGTCAAGGTCAGATGACACCTGCCAGTTGGACATGTACACCTTACAGTCCTTCCATACACCGAATATACTAGACCTATTGCTTATAGTATCTGAGATATGGACTTGACCACGAAAACTTAACCTTGTTCACTGATCCATGAAATGAGGTCGACGTCAAGTGAAAACTGTCTGACGGGCATGAGGACCTTGCAAGGTACGCACATACCAAATATAGTTATCCTATTACTTATAATAAGAGAGAATTTAACATTACAAAAAATCTGAACTTTTTTTTCAAATAGTCACTGAACCATGAAAATGAGGTCAAGGACATTGGACATGTGACTGACGGAAACTTCGTAACATGAGGCATCCATATACAAAGTATGAAGCATCCAGGTCTTCCATCTTCTAAAATATAAAGCTTTTAAGAAGTGAGCTAACGCCGCCGCCGCCGCCGTAGCCGCCGCCGCCGCCGCCGCCGGATCGCTATCCCTATGTCGAGCTTTCTGCGACAAAAGTCGCAGGCTCGACAATAAATGACTTTAAACTTGATGAACACTTCTACCTTGTTTGGTCTTGTTATGTGGAAGAATAGCTTGTATTATTAGACCATTAAAAAATAGATCTACATTTCTGAACTTTCAAGCATTTTTGCAAACAAGAGGCCACTAATACCTTCATTAAAAAAGTCTTTAAATCAAAAAATATATCGTTTCAGATTTTGAGAAAGTTTATTGATATACTCATAATCATGGTTTTTTTTTCTATCATTGAAAATGAAAAATACAAGTAGATTAATTTTACTTTATATTGAGTGAAACGAGACTATCTTTATCTCAAGTTTAAAAACATTAAAGCATGAATAATCAGTCTACCCTAGGCTTATTTCTACCTGCTCAGCTCTTAAAAAAATTCTATTTCACAGATTTGTGACATTACATGTGTTTGACCTAAAGTTATCTGTTATGTCACGATGTTTGACTACAACTTATCAAATCTTTTTCTAGTCACCTTGTTAAACAACAAAAATAAACTATAGTTTCAATCATGAGAACAACCTGAATACAATCCTATAAATCAATTATCAGATTTTAATTGTAAATACTGCTTAAAATTACCTGCTTGAAACAATATGAAGCGTTTTTAACTGGCTTGAAGCGCCAATTTGTTAAAACAACTATTCTGTGTTTCACAGCTAATATTGTACAATATCAGTTTGTAGAAAAACTTCTAAGCAGTATTTATAAACTTCACTCATCATTTTGTTTCAATCAAAACACACTTAAAGAATGGATTTTATGATTTTTACATTCTCTTTCAAGAATACTAATATAGCAATGACTGAAACTTTCTTCTTAAATGTCGTTAAAATAAAATAACAGCCAAATTACAAACCCTTATCTTCTTTTTGGCTTTTCCCACAGTGGCAGTGTTGATATTCGTATTGGCTACTATTACGCCATATCCATTGGACATGGCCCATCTAATATATGGAAGCTGTGTACCACTGTCTAAGCAGTCATTCATAATCAAACTGCAATTGGTAAAAACAGTGATTTTTATTTATGTTCATGTTGCGATAAAGAAAAATTTTAAAATGTGTGGAATTCAAATATATTGGCATATTATTAGTGTAAATTTTTTATTTTATTATTTTTGGGGGGAGGGGGAAGAGGAGAATATCTTTTTAATAAATGAACTTAATTTTGGAATAAAATTTGCTAATTGAATATATTTCTTGTAATGTAGAACCAAAGAACCAATTACTTTCAGAAGTAACAGTTTTGTTTTTAGAAAAACAAGAATTATTGCAAAAATGTCTTAAGCTTCTCCAAATTTTCTTTTCAACTTCTATTAACAGCTATCTAAAAAAATTGATCATTGTTGGAAACAAAATTGCAAGTGTATAGAATTCACCTAAATCAAAGAAGTAGAGTTACTTGACAAAAATCTCTTTCACTTCATCACTTCAGTAAATTTTGATATCAATAAGTTTAATTTTTATAAATGGCTCATGATAAAATTTAAATTAAAACTGACCAGTTATAATTAAAATGGATAAGGTACATGTATTTTCTCTATATACCATTTAGACTACTACACAATGGCAGGGAGATGAACATCATTATTCCTTCACCTGTCCTGAACCATGGACGTACAAAAAGGGAATGCCATATCTACTAATATTCAAGGCATTCCATATATAACTAGCTTCGGGAAAATTTTTTCAAATGATCCTTATGAGAACAATTGGCTGCTGGCTGTCATAGTTTGACCTGGGACAGGCACTATGAAACTTAAAGTGATGGGTTAAATAAGGTTTTACAGTGGAACAAACCTCTCACTTTTATGGGTAATTTGTTCCCCTAAAAATTTATCTTGGAGTCATTGTCCCCAATAGCATAAACAATTACTACATATTTTTAAAGACAGTACCTTCTTGCCCATTGTCCAGCTTTGATCTTGGAGTCAATGTCCCCAATGATATATGAACACAACATGAACCTATATAAGGAATACTACATTACGCTTTAACTGACTTTACCTTCTTGCCCATTGACCAGCTTTGACTGGCCCTGAACCATGGATTAATATCAATAATTTATCTGGATTACTCTGCGCATCTTTCGTTTGGAAGAAGAATGAAGTAGGTTCATCTTCTTGAGCATCTACCTACAATAAAGTACATTTGTGTAACACAATTTTATTTTGTACCCAGAAAACACTAGGTTATCTGCCCTTTAGATAGATACAGTGACGTAATAAAAGGCCATTTTAATACATAGCTTGTTACATTTAGTCTAAAACATATACAATCATACACAGCTCTTTGGCATATCTAAAGCTTAATTAAAAAGTATGGAAATAATAGCAAATTCTAAAATTATGAATTCACATATATAACATGATTTTATGGATTTTTTCTGGGAAAATGAACATTTTCAATTAAAAATTGTCCAGTCACCTATTTAAAAATGCATTAAACTTTTGTGACAAACAAGTCACATGTATATAAAATTATGTTGTGTCACTTCTTCAGAATTGTCTTGTTGAAAGTAGAGAGAAAATTGGTCATCATTTTGATATATATCAAATAAATAATCAAATATATAAATTATACCAAAAATACATATATTATGATTGATTGATTGTTGGTTGCTTAACGTCCATTCACAAACTTTATACTTCATGTATGTTCTGGACGAGAACAAATCAACAATAAATACAACAGGTAGGTCTTGTAATTGAGGACATAGGGATGAAGGTCGGGAAAATTTGGACTGCCACTGGAAAATGAGGGTATATTGGATAGGGACAGAATTTTGCCTTGCAATAGGCCACTTAGGGACCACTCAAACAGTTGTTGCAAAGATTCTAAACATGCAAAGAACGTGGCACTTTCTTTACTCGAGGCATCAGATTTAACGTCCCCATTCTGTTTGGATGTGGCTGCGTACTTGTACATCCCGCACAACCAAACAGACACCCCACTTTGACAAGGGCTTTTCTGACAGTCAAAAGAAGAACACGAGTGACCATATTTCCAATCCCAAGTCACCCTTGACGGACATATATTATGCTATATCCAAAATTGATCAAGAAAATATAGAGAATACCAAAGTCATGTTTTCAATTTGATATATTGTGGATTCTTTTATTTTCGAGAGTACCAATTTTCGTGGATTGAGTAAAATTTGCATTTTTCAAGGATATTTGATTTTGTTGTTTCACCAAAGTCAGCATAAAAGCCTATAGAAAATTTGTATTTCGTTAAATATTTAAATTCATGGTTCATCTTTACCCAGAAAATTCACGAAAAATGGTATCCAACAAGTAATAATGGTTCCACAGTACTGGACATTAAACAAACGTCTATCAATCTATTCTGTATATACATCCTAATCATTTAAGTGATACCATGGTCAATTGTGGTATAGATTCATGAAGCATGCAAATTATTGTTCATAACAGATTGAATATGATGGACAAAAAAACAAAGATATAATGAAATTTTATCACTGATAACATAATATTATTACAGAAAGAGTTATGAAAAAAAACATTTATTAAATGATATCCAAAGGAGTCTTTAATTTCAGAATGTTTTCTGATGAAGAATGACTTTGAGCAACACAACAGGTGCCACATGTGAAGTAGTATCTGCTTACTATTTTAGAGCACCTGAGATCACCCCTGGTTTTTGGTGGGGTTTGTGTTGCTCAGTCTTTAGTTTTCTATGTTGTGTTTTGTATACTGTTGTTTGTCTTTTGGTGTTTTTCTTTTTTTGCCATGGCGTTGTCAATTTATTTTTGACTTATTTGTTTGAATATCCCTTTAGTATCTGTGGCGTCTCTTTTGAAGAATACATGTATTTGTATATACATGTAATAATAAAACTTTAGAATATCAATCTTCAAACTCATTGGTATCCATCCTTATCTATACTTACTGGAATGGTAGTTCTTTCTAAACCTTCTTTCTCTAAAAGTTCATAGACATAGTCTGTTATGATCTGTAATAAGAAATAAAGGAATGCTTAATTTGGACTGATGTTAACCATTCAGAAATTTGGTAATGATTGATTGTTTGGCTATTGGCTATTTCATGGCTGCCTGTTTATTTTTGTGGTGGAAGCCAGAGTGGACAGAGAGAATCACTGACCTATGGCAGGAAAACTGGCCATTTTAGTTTTTGATCTATACATTTGGAATATTGCACCAATTTGACAAATATCTTGTTACTTTTATACTGCAATATGCTACCTTTATTACCAATCAAAGAAAATTATTTCTTTGAATAACAACCAAGATAAAGTTTGAGATAAAGAATAACTGGTGTATTTGTTTGATTTTTTTAATTAATTCTAAGAGAAATAGGTAAACAAATAAAAGACTTACATCACCAATGGCCTCATATCTGTTCTGGTTATATCTATGGTTATCTCCCTTTTCTACAAAATTAAAGCCATTGCCTGTTTCTATATTCCTCAACTGTTCATCTGAAGTAGAAAAAAATCTCAATAAAGTACATGTATGTGAATGAACATACATCTATTTAAGTTTCAGAAATCAACAGAATTACTTTCTGTATACCATAAAGAAGAAGGTCTGGTAAGGGCTAATTTTGGCCTAAAATTCAAAGTACATCTGAAGAAAGATTTTTGACATTTTTTTAACACTTAAGTGTGTACTTTAGTCCATTCAATAAGTTTAGGTAAAACATTTGAACTGATTTGGACATTAAAGACGCTAAAATTCAAGCTTTAACATCAAAAATCTATCAAAAATGCCATAAAACGTCACTTTTCAGATAGTTTTTGTCTAAAATATAAGTGGCCACATTCGTGTTCAGTCTCAACCTTTATATATGTTATGTATCATCATCAAATACAACATATATTTAAATATTAAGACTGAACACAAATGTGGCCACTTCCATTTTAGACAAAAAACGTGTTAAAATTAACACAAATGCTAAAATTGTGAAGATTTCTGTAATTTTGCATAAATTAATGATGCAAGTACCTGATGCATGTGCATTGTGTTGTCAAAAAGAGCCCTTATTTATGTAATAAAAGTATTCTACTTTCCAATAAATAGCTAAAGGTTTACATTTCAACAAATCTCTAAAAATGCTATATTTTGGGACCAAAAAGGGCTCTTACCGGGCCTTCCTCCTTTGAGTATCATATGAGTGCAAATTTTCTGTCCAGAAATAACCAAATACTCTTATTTCATTCTTTATATGTTTACTCTTTGTGTGTATTAATCTTTTTGCATGAGACAACAGCTGTCAACAAGAAAAACCAATTTTGTTTCAATCTGTTAATGATGTTAAATTAAAATAAATCTGCAAAATGCAGAATGCATAAACTAATCGGGAATCATTCATCAGGAGAATTTATTTTTGTAGTAACTAGAAAAGAGCAAAAAATTGCAACTTCGAGAAATTTAATTAACCTGTATAAAAGATTAATTATCAAATTATAAAAAAGAAACAAAAAACTTAGGACTTAAAAAGATTCCCTATCACATGTATATGTTTTCCTGGCAGTAGAAAATGTGATAGCATTTCCAGCCCAGCTGCTTGGTACTTTGTACAGAAAATATTGTTATTGTTAAAAAGAAATTTGTAGTGAAAAGATCGGAAATAAGCAATCATCTTTCTCATGCATAGTTTGCCCAGATTCTTTCGCTTGGTTTTACTCTACTTAATGTTCCAGCTCTTCAGTGTTTGTTTTAGGTTTGCTTACTACAAATAGTTTACCTCATGCTTCACAATTTTTGTTGTTGTTTTTTTATACTCAAAATAATATTGCAAGAGAAATAAAGACCATTACCTTCATTGAAATGATATCCAAATTCTTCTAATGTCTTTGGAAAGTCATATTCTGTTGATAAAAAAATTGGATAAAAGAAAGAGTTTCTTTTTTCATCATGACATTACATTTTGACATTCAATGGTATCTAAAGTAATTTATCTGGCTCTCTTAAGATATAAACACAGGAACCATGCGATCTAAGACTCAGAAATGTCTTAACTTTAAATACAAAACCAAAATGTAATGTGAACATAATTATTTTTTTGGGTATTAGTTTTCATGGAATTCAAAATGAAACAGGTATTTTAAGGATGTCTGCTGCTAAAAATTTACAGAAATCTGTCATAAAGAGTACATGTATACACTACTTATTTTCTTACAAGATTTTAATGTGGAGTCTGAATTTTTTAGGACAAATATAAAAGATGCTTTTTTTGTTCTTGATTTCTCCAGGAAAAAAATCATTTTTAAATATTTTCTGAAGAAATTATTCCAGAGACTAAATATATTTTAATCTAAATAAATTGCTTTGCTGAGCGCAGCTGGATTTGACCACAGAGGTCCAACCCTGAACAGTTGGGGCAAAAATGGACGCAATATTCAAGCTTGATACAGGTCTGAATTTGGATTGTAATGAAATATTTGACACATTATATGTTTCTGACACAGAATGAATGTAGTCCAAGAACTTGAAATTGGTTATATGATTTGAATTTATATTCAATTGAAGATTTCTTGCTTTTGTAATATTTCGTAAATCTGTTTTCAGACTATATATAAAGAATTAGCGAAATAAATTGTGATCCCCCTTTTTTTTTGTGGCAAATTGATAATTTCTTAAATCTTGAGGAAAAAAAATTGACCCCCCCCCCCAAAAAAAAAAATTTTCTAATTTTTTTTTGAATAAAGTGCTTTTTCTATAGATAGTGACAGAAGATCATGTAACACAGCAAAAGCCATCCTCCTGAGTTATAAATGAACATGCATGTTATCAACACTGTAATTAGATCTTTGAATATTGTATTTATCAGAATAAATATTGATTTTGTTATCAATAAATTAAAACCAAACTAAATACTATTGTTATACATATATGTACATTCACGGTCCTACAATCTGTAGATAGTTTGTCTTTGCACAAGTTCATGTTTTTCTCTGATTATAATGACATTTTTACACTAAATCTATTGGATGTAGAATGTGTACTGAATGATGTTTTAGTCTTAAGATATATGATTTTTTTTATTAGTATTTGCCTTTGAACAAGCTTTCAGTAACTGTGAGTACTCTCAGATCTGTACTGAGTGTCTTTTGGTTTTTTTTTGGTTTTTTTTTTGGGGGGGGGGGGGGGGGCTTTTTTGTGCTTTGTATCGATTTGATGCATTTATGCTCTATACTTGTCTCACTGGCAATCATACCAAATCTCCTTATTTTTAAAAAGGAGGAGGGTTTGTTGCCATCAAACATGTTAAAACTGTATCTGTGCAAAGTCAGGAGCCTGTAATTCAGTGGTTGTCGTTTGTTGCTGTATATCATAATTTTTTTTCGTTTAATCTTTTGTACATAAATCACATCACCTTTTTTTTATATGTATTTCACAACTTCTTTTATTTGTCTTTAAAAATATAGATAAGAGTTTACATGGAAATATCAAACTTTATAGAATTGCAACCTTCATAACCATTTTCTCAATTCAATATTTTAGCCTTTTTTATGAACAAAAAGGTCTTTAAAAATAAAATATTTTGAAATGTGGCAATTGCAGATTTGATTGTATGTTACAGTATATCTACCTTCATCTTCATCTCCAAACATTTTCTGTAAATAGAAATAACACTTTTATAATATGTCTGACTTGCCCTTTAAAAAATGTAGCTTTTGCCAATAGATATAAGAAGATGTGGTATGAGTGCCAATGAGACAACTCTCCATCCAAGTCAAAATTTGTAAAAGTAAACCATTATAGAACAACATGGAGCCTTAGCTCAAACCGAACAGCAAGCTATGAGTGCCAATGAGACAACTCTCCATCCAAGTTGCAATTTGTCTAAAACAAGTTTTAAACAAATAAATGAATTTTACGGCAAAGTTATATGTTAAAACTAATGTCATGTACCTCGGATAAAATTTATCTTGAAATAGTAGGGAAAAAGTTTACATATCAAAGGAATACAGAATTGTTTTGCTGGTCATCCTGAAAATTGCGGAGACATGAGGAAATCCTTTATAAATGAACATTCCAATCTGATGAGTCAGGCCCTTTCATTCATAAATTATAAACAGAATAAATGTATTTTAATTTCTGATATTGACTGTATCATGTAGAATAATTTTCTTACCGAGGTAGAAGGCGGTCAAAAAATTTTGAAAACTTGCCCTTCAGGTTCATCTAGATACTCTATATGATGAAGACAGTTAAAATAAAATGTTACGCAGGGTGCAGCTTGATACGACTGCAGAGGTCGAAACCTGAACACTTGGGGCAAGTATGGACACAACGTTCAAGCTTGACTCAGCTCTATGAATTTAGATTGTGATTAAATATCAAAGAACCCCAACAATTCAATTTTTGATAAAATTTAAAAAAAAAAAAAAAAAACAAGCATTCTGAAAGTATTGCATGGGGAATGCATAGTCCTCTACCGGTTAAAAATTCATTGTACTGGAACAAAATGATAACTTGATCAATAACTTGTCATGGTGTAAACTATATAACAAATATCAATTCAATGTCTTCAAGCAAGATGAAAAAAAGTGTGGAAAACTGATTTTTTAAGTGAATTTTTTAAGTCCAAGGACAATAACTCTGCTCAAAATCATCAGACCTGACCAAATTTGAACTTGATCTGTAACTTGTCATGATAAAACTATATACCAATTATCAAATCAATATCTTCAAGCATGAGGAACAAAAGTGAGGAAAAATGTATAATATTTTAGTGAATTTTATAAGTCCAAGGACTATAACTCTGCACAAAATCATCAGACCGGAACAAAATGCTAACTTGATCTATTATTTGTCATGATAAAACTATATACCAATTATCAAATCAATATCTTCAAGCATGAGGAACAAAAGTGAGGAAAACTGATTATTTGAGTGAATTTTCTAAGTCCAAGGACCATAACTCTGTGCAAAATTATCAATGACCCTCCATCCAGACCCTCATACATTGAGAATTACTTTTTTTATAGTTTTATTATAAGTCAGTTACACGAAGGTCATGTAGCTGTTGCAGAACTGTTATCAAAATTATAACAGAACAATCAACAATAGGAAGTAAATGGAATTGGGCAGTATTTGGGATTTTTATCATTTTAAAGTCAAGTTACAGTTGGTCATATTACAGTAGGTCATGTCACAGATTTTTTTCAAATTTTCAATACAGCTGAAATATGTTAAACATGAACTAAAAAACCAAGTTTCCTATACAAGTTTAAATAAACAAAATTACACTGATAAAATTACTTCAATGTGGAAATTAATACACCACCAAATGTTTAATTTCACTACACTTATTAATTGTAATCTTGACCTTCTAGTTATGACCTTGACATGTCCATTGTTTGATCATTTAACACTTTGTATTCATATTTATATCTTCATTTTGGAAGTGTATTTTTTTCACTATATATATATATATATATATATAACAAATGTTGTAATAAGATTATTGCATAGCTACTGATCAGAACTTTTGTAAATTCAGAAATTATTTCAGGGTCTTTATAATAGCAAATAATGTGACTAGGTTATTAAATGCACACAATAATTCTGAATTTGCAGTAAATGTATATTTGCTTCTTGTATTTGCAACTTTTCCATTTATTTCTGTAACCCCTATTGCGTTTTCCTAGGTTATACACTACCATTTAAAAAACTTACATCTTAAATACACTTTGTGTAAAATATTTTGAAAATCAAGGTTTATTATATTTTAAATAAAATTAATCTTCCTCCAGTTTATGTCCAAATTAACACATTTTTTCATTACATTTCATATGAAAAATCCTGGCACATCTTTTTCCCACCAAAAATCTAATTTTTTTAAATACTTGTATCTTAAATCACATAGATCTATCTTTGTTGTTTTATAACATTATCAACTGAAAAAGACACATTGAAATGTTATTAATTGGTATTTCAGCAACTAACATTTTCAAAACTTTATCTTTAAAGAGATATTTTTGAAAAAGCAATTATAGTCCAGTCCATTACTTCACAATAAACTTTAATTGACAGATAAATTAAGTTGAAATAGATTTTAAATGCACTTACCTATAAGATTTGGGATGAATGTTAGCTATATTTTCGTGAAGCATGATTTCAAAAGCAAATGAGCAGATACAGAGTATAAAATAAAAAAATAGTACCTTGACTATGATTGAGTAAATGTTACCCATGATCAACTGTTTTAACTGTTAAGTCCTACAAAAAATATTTTACAAATACTTAGTTTTTATTACACATCATGCAAATTTTCTTTTATTAGTCAACACTAAATATGTACAAGCTTGAAAGTAATGACCATATCATTATAAATAGGTTTTGAAAAACATGAATTGATAGGAATAATTAGTTATTTTAAGGCCAAATGGAAAAGAAGGTACATGATTCATGGCACTAGCCAAGAGCTAAGGAACAACACTTTTATTGCTGTTCTTCATCACAAATTCACAGTGAGGAATTATGTTCTGGTTAGATTTACCTTACAGGTAAAAAAAAGAATAATGCAAAAAGAAAGTTAAGTTTGTGTTATAACAATTTGACTAATATTTTGTGCAAAACAACTTCAATTAATTTTTGAAAAAAAGGACACTTTTGTATACATTCATTTATACTACATGACTGTACATCTAAATTATGTATATAATCATTTAAAAAAATAAAGATAAATCTACAATCATGACAACCATGACAATAATGACAATGAAGATTAATTTTCAAATGAAATAAATAGTGTTGCACGTACTTCAGGTTAAAAGGCTTCACTTCTGGTTTGGATGTAAACAAATATTAATTTTGTGTAATGCTTGCTATTTAAATTGAGAAGGCTTTTCAAATGATTTAAGACAAATGTCAAGATTGTGAGAAAGGAAACCTTTCTATAAATAGTTTGATTCATAATTGATTTTATTTCCAAGAACCAACTTGAATTTAAGGAAAAACAAAGCATGATGTGAAGTTGGGGGTGGGGGTGTTCTAAGCACAACTGTTTACGAACTTGTAATGAAAATTTGACATACACTTTTCTGGAGGTCACTTTCATGTGTAGGTCAAATTCAATGTCAATCTACTACATGCTATCTGTGAATGATCTTTTGAAGATTTAACATACATGTATTTATAAACAAAAATGAAAGTACAATTCATAACAATATATCTTTTTGTTTGATGAGTTTACTGTTTTAATTTCAGTGATATTTGAGAGTAGCGTTTTGTCCTTCATGTCAAAATGTAAATAATTCTCTTGTTCTAATATGTCTTCTATAAGGGCTCAATAATTATGAGAGATAACAATACGTTTTTCACCACCATTTAAAAATAAAGGAGTTTAGGGTTTTCTTACCTTCTCTATTTTTAAAGTCTAGTGGTAGTGAAAAGTGACAAAATTGAGGGTAGTTACCATACACTCAAGGTAAAACTATTTAACAAAATGAAAACAAATAATTTTCATACCCATCCTTTACTCTTATTTCTGTGTAAAAAAAACTTTTATCATGAATTTGGGGAATATGTATTCATCCTTTACTCTCATGACTCTTTATTTCTGTGTAAAAAAAATTTTATCATGAATTTGGGGAATATGTATTTACCATGTTTACAGATGCAAAATTATATTAGGCAGTACTTCTTAATTACATGTACATGATGTATGTGCAAAGTTTAAGATTGCACTTCAAAGTCACAAGTGAGAACCTGGAATTTCATTAAAAAATTTCAAAGGGAGATAATCCTATATTAGTCATGATAGTCTGGTTGTGCTTATATAGCCAGATTGAGGTACATTAAAATCAAAGAAAATATTATACAAAAATTCCTAATTTTTCAATACTTGACAATCAGCCAAAAATTTATTAATTAAACAGTAAAGACAATCATGTCAAAAATGTCAAAACAATAATAGTATATAAATTTTTTTAATGATAAATTCCATCATTTTAAAAGATAGTCATATAGTTGTGATTATGGACAATTTATGCTAACTTTTAGTAAAAGATGTTCTCCTTTATCAAAAATATGGATTTTTACATTTGTGATGGATACATAGACATTTATTGATTTTGAAATAATCACACCCATCTCCTTATTTACATTTAGCAAGTGTTTTTTTTTTTAATTCTAGCAATGTGGTTGTAGCGACCCTTAATATATATTTTCTTATTTGAGCGATATGTACAATTCTTTAAACATAATGCACTGTTTGAAGTTTGAACTTTAAAGTATGATTTCTATTAAAGACACATAGATTAAATGGGTGCAGGATTTTTTATTTCTAACTAAGTATACATGTTTTTCAACACAATGCCCTAGGGAAGAGCTTTATTAGACTAGTATCAGTGGAGGAAACAACAAGAAACTGAAAATAATTTCTTAACTTGTGCTGTTTGAAATTTTTTATTTCTTTTGATTATATTTATGTACATATAACTATTGTATTGTTCATTATATAATGTATGCCTGAGACAGGTCCAATAGAAATTATACAAGCCTGACTGAAAGGCCTGTGACCAAGGCCAAAAATAAAATTAGAATTGTTTGACATGTTTGATGTTGTCTACCTACCCACCTAAAGAGCAGCCTACCCAAAAAATTTGATGACACAAATTGTTTCAAATGTTTTTTGAACAGTTTTTTCGTGCTTGAACATTGCTTTCTTGTCTAAAGCATGTAACTTATGCTGTTGGCCAAAAAAATCTCTACCTACCTACCTACCCAACCCTACAAGGCATGGGTAGGCAACTTCAAACAAAGAATTTGTTAAGGGTGGCCAAAGTGGAAGATTGTTTTACAGCTTATTTAAATGGCAGTGTAGTAGATATTGTAATTGAGTATTTAAATCTAATGTGTCTATATTAATCAATATTCTTGTTTCCTTTATATTACATATGTATATGTATGCTCCTAATGGGTCTATAAATTGGTAAAATGCTCACGATAGAATCATAAATGGTAGAAGTATCCATTAAGGTCATTATGACCATGGCAGCAATAAATTTCCTGTCACATGATCTGTAGTGAGAAAGCTAGACTTTCTTTCTTTTCAGGATTTTCTCTTAAACGGTTTAGAGGAGTATATAATGTACTACACATAGCTATTTTCCACAAATCTTAATATCTAATTACTGAAAAGTATGATGATAAATAAACCAGCATGCATCAATAACTATTGGAAGATCATCAGGTACATGTAGTACCTGTCTCATATTAAAGTATACAATGTAGTCATGACTCACGTATGTTGATGTTGTTGAATAGAATAGAATAGAATACAAGCTTAAGACAGATTGAGGTCTAGTATATTAGCTCAACCTTCAGATATAGATAATTTATATTGACAACACAATTTGAGCAAGAGTTATTTCCCTGGAGGTCAAAATGCACAAATGACTGCATAGATCAGCCAAATTTAACTTCTAAATTTTACGCTGGCTGCTATCCTTAGAAAATGTTGCTTTCTGAACAATTTTAATTTCTTTTGGCCTTATATAATTCATCATTACAATCAAGTAAGGATTTTCTTACAGTTGCTTGAATCACATGATTCAATTAAGTTTGTTAAATTCGAAAATCTACCAGTTACACCTCCAACAGGCAACATGGCAGTCAACGCTAACAGAAATAAATCAAAACTCAAATTACATCATATCGAAATATATATTTACATGATGATGATGTCATGTGATGTAGGAAAGCTTGGAATATTACCGAACACTAAGACAACGGGACAAGTGGTCGACAAACATGACAAGTCTGGAAGTCGGACAAAACAAGTAATTTGAAACTGAAACTGAAAGTAGTCACATAAATTTTTGTTGATACTAGACTTACTGTTCCCAAATTACATACAGTTCAACATCACTAGCTGGGATGAGACAATTAATCATTAAAGTAATTTGTTTACCACTTACACATTTTATTGTACCACAGGATGCTAATAATGATAAAAACAACAAACACTGCAATTTCATAAGTTGGGACACTAAAAAGGGGGATTTTCCCAAATATCAATTACTTCCTGTCTCGTCAAAAACGTTATTTCTCGTTAGTTCGGTCTCTTGTTCCGGTTGTCGCTCTCTGATCACAAGGATCAGCATGAAGGTAGTTTAAGAACTCAAATATACTAGGTTTCTACACAAATAAAAACATAAATAGTATCCATTTCTGTTAAAACGAATATAGTCTTTCACTTTAAGATATATCAAAGTATCTTTCAATTGCCCAAAAGCGACAGATGAAGACCGATTCCATTTTCTGTTCAACTTTGAAGATGATACCTAGTTCAGAAAAAATATAAATTTAGAGATTTTACCTATTAAGAATTATTATTTAATTTTAACCTTTCAGATTTTGTATGGCAGGGCTAGTTGTGGAACTGTCAATTTAGAAGAAAGACCCTGTAAACGACCACATCCCCCCTTTTAGTAAAACGAAGTTTACAACATTTATCTTATAATTTGCTGGCAGAAGGAGAATTATGAACAAATTTCGACACCACACGTGATGTGCCTTTATGCACTTTATTAAAGGCATTGTATTCGGACATGACGTTACTTTTCATACCAAAACATGATGAACACATTTCATCTTGTCCCCCCCCCCTTTCCAAATAGTTGCCGGGGAATAGCATTATGGCCACTATTGTCTTCTTCTGACCAGCAGTTAAACCCTTGCTATAGTGGGGCATCTGTTGGGCTCTGCAGGATTTACAAGTACACAGCCACATCTGTTCAGAATGGGGATGTTAAAATTATCTGATGCCTCATGATGTTAAATTTTTGTCCCTATCTAGTATACCCTCATTTTCAAGTGACAGTCCAATTTTTTCCTGGACGCCATCTATTACAGGCTTACCTATTGTAGTTATTGTTAATTTATTCTCATCCTGAAAATGCAAGAAATATTTGCCACTGGATACAAAGTAAAAAACAATCATCAATCGTCTGACCAATAATTAATGACAAGGTTCAGTAGATATACAGTTTTAACTTATATTGCTTAATCTTATTGAGCTAGGTATTCACCTTTTGGCTTTATATTGTCAGTAACATGTTTGAACAGGGTCCATTTCACCCACAGAGTTCATACTTCACTTATATGTCTTAGAGTATAAAAATAGTATATTAATTTTACATGTAATTAGTAATAGTTAAAAGACGCTACCAGAAAAAAATGTATTTGTGCTGTCTGTCCAAATAAGACAATATGTTACACTATAGGTCAAAGGTTACTGTGTAGGTTATTTTGGTCCATGCTTTGATTATTTAGACAGTTATAATTTAGTGGAACAACAAAATTAAAATGAACTACATGTACATTACATGTAGTAACCAAAATTTAGTTATTAATTGTATTAGTAAGAAGATAAAACTTGTTATGTTGTATTGTATTTCACATTCACATAGGAACATAGGAAAACGTACGCATATCATTGAGCTACGTGTATAAAACTAATCTATATATTGAACACATGAATTTAGATAAAAAAAAAATATATTTTCTATCTCATTGCATTATTTTATTATTAATCCTTTTTTTGTAGCTCAACATTTCTTTCCCAGCCACTGGCTGTCAAAAGCTTATAGAAGTTGACGATGAAAAGAAATTACGACCGTTTTTTGATAAACGTATGGCCCAGGAAGTTACCGCTGACAGTCTTGGTGATGAATGGAAGGTTTGTTTTGATATAATACAAAATCATGACAATCATTATTCATAACATGACCTTTTAAAGAAATGATTAAAAAGACCAACACTTAGAACATTTTAAGCATCCCTATCTTAAAGGCTTACAAACATGAAATTTTTAAAGAAATGAATAAAATGACCAGCACTGAGAACATTTAAAGCATCTCTATTTTATAGGCTCACAAACATGAACTTTTTAAAGAAATGAATAAAATGACCAACACGGGGAACATTATAAGCTCACATGGCCAGTACATGTAGGTATTTCTTTGTGGGACACCAGCGTCACAATTTCAATTCACCAGGCAACAATTTGCTGCTTCTCTAATAAGTCAGCAATTCTTTAAAAAAAAAACCAATTCTATAAACAAAATTAAATGTTCCCATGTTCCTCAGTTGATTTTAAAACTGACACAGAATAACAATTTATTTTACAATCTCTTTCCTTTCGAATCACACAAAGACAAATGAAATAAGACATTGAGAACAGGCACATATCTTGCCAGGGAGGCAAAATAAGAAATAATTAAAATAACCAGATGGCTGGGTAAATATATTAATAGGGGCCCCTATAGTAATCAGTCTGTCGGTCCGTAACAGATTGTGTCCGCTCTATATCAAGAGAACCGTTAAAATTTCATACTTTATACTTGACATGTATATTGACCAACACCAGAGGGTATGTCATAATGTTTGTACAACTTCCTAGGTCAAAGTTCAAGGTCAGCTGGTCCCACAGAGATGGCTCCCATCTCAATGATGTCTAGTTAATTGATGGGTGCTGAAGTTAAGGATTCTCTAAGGTGCAATACAGAGGTTTACATCCCCCCCCCCCCCCCCCCCAATAAAAAACCCCAATAGAATACATGGTTTGTTACCATCAGTTTTATCAACCCTCTTGATTCTTCAGAATTTATTGTCTAGAAAAAATGAATTAGGCATTCTTCATATCATTTCTTGCGTAATTAAAGAATATTGTACATAAAATATATTTTTTCAATTCTAAAGGAAGAAAAGTAATACTTTTTTGAAGTGCATATAATTGTTCATTTGAAAACTAACATACAAGTCAAATTCACTTGTATTAATCATTACATTATTATGATTTTAAACTGCAAAAACGAAAAATAAAATACCACAAAAATTAAAACATAATATATACTTGTAATGATTCCCCTTCTGTACGAGTATAAATTTTATCAACAGGGATATGTAGTACGTATTTCTGGAGGCAATGACAAGCAAGGATTCCCAATGAAACAGGGAGTTCTGACTAATGGCAGAGTGCGTCTGCTGTTGTCTAAAGGTCACTCTTGTTTCAGACCAAGGAGGACTGGTGAAAGACGCAGGAAGTCAGTCCGTGGATGTATTGTGGACAGTAATCTGAGTGTTTTGGCCTTGGTTGTTGTCAAGAAAGGTAAAATTACATTGAATCATTTATTGCGAACCCAATGAAAGTTTTCCACAGTGCCATCTCTATCTTGACCAGGTATTTAAACTTTTGTAAGTTCACCTGTCCTATTGAATAAATACAATAGCTATTGTTCTCCATGTATTTTTTTCACTGGGACCTTTAAATTTCTTCTAAGAGAAATCTATCACTCATTGATTAATTTACCTGAGTAAAAAAAAAATCTTGTAAATAGAGGAAAATAGATATAGGAAGATGTGGTATGAGTGCTAATGAGACAACTCTCCATCCAAGTTTTATACTCAAAACTGCATGTGATGTTATATTTATGCAATATTGATAATATATTTTCAAACGGTTGAATGTAAACAGTGATGCAAAGTTGAAACATTAATAAAATATAAAAAAGAAGATGTGGTATGATTGCCAATGAGACAACTCTCCACAAGAGACCAAATGACACAGAAATTAACAACTATAGGTCACCGTACGGCCTTCAACAATGAGCAAAGCCCATACCGCACAGTCAGCTTTAAAAGGCCCCGAAATGGCAATGTAAAACAATTCAAACGAGAAAACTAACGGCCTAATTTATGTACAAAAAATGAACGAAAAACAAATATGTAACACATAAACAAACTACAACCACTGAATTACAGGCTCCTGACTTGGGACAGGCACATACACAGAGAATGTGGCGGGGTTTAACATGTTAGCGTTGATTCATGTTATATCAATAGTATATTAATAATATATTTTCATTCAGTTTAATATAAACATTGATTCAATCATAAAAAGTTGATTTCTGACAAAACTTTCAACATTGTTCCTTTTAAAAAAAAAATTGTTTGACATGAATAAAAACTTGAAAATTATGATGTTCAAATTAAGATCTTCTTAAATGTATTCTATAACTAGACAAAAAAAAATCCAATTTCAATAGGAACATTGATAAACTTTTGTTTAAAATCAACTTTTTATGATTGAATCAATGTTTATATCAAACTGATTGAAAATATATTATTAATATTGAATAAATACATCATCACATGCAGTTAATGAGTATAAAAAAAAGTATTTTTGTCTATGTATAAGAATTTTTTTTTACTCAGGTAAATTAATCAATGAGTGATTGATTTCTCTTAGAAAAAATTTAAAGGTCCCAGTGAATAAACTACACAGAGAAAAATAGCTATTGTATTCATTCAATAGGACAGGTGAACTTACAAAATTTTAAATACCTGGTCAAGATAGAGATGGCACTGTGGAAAACTTTCATTGGGTTCGCAATAAAAAATTTAAATTCACAATTTTACATGTAATTTAAATAAGGAAAGGAATATTGACAAAGTAGAAAATTTTGTATTGCAGCTTGGCACTCGCTTGTAATTCATTATTTCATAGGGTTAATACCTTAAGTCACCTTATTTATCAAAAGTTTCCCAATGTTGTTGGTGATAAACAGGAAGAGGAGCAGAAATCCATAATCCAAGGGTTATTAAATCAAAAGAAGGCTCCAGAAAAACCATACTATTAGTATTAATTGCTCAACACTGAAAACTATTGAAGATGAATACTTTTTGTATCAGCTTCTTTGATTGGTCGATATCTAAATGTTGACAATCATGGCATGATGGTGCCCAACCAGGAAAGCCAATTAAAAGATCAGCATCAACTGATAACAGACATATTTCAAAACCCAAATATGATCAAGAGGTTCGAGAGCATAAATTTCTCGATGTTTGGACCAGGGACAGACCGTGGTTATATTTTGACGAAACACTCTAAATTTAATGTTTTTTCAATGTTTGTAAATTGTGCAAAGAATATGATGATGAGGAGGATGATTGTGATATGTCAGAAGACATGATAAACTCTCTCCTCTTTGAATTTACAAGAGATTAAATTAACAAATTCAATATTACTAATCATATTGAATTTATATATTTGGTGTCTTCAAAACATGACTTTCAAAGCTCTCATATTGCAGGATTTTTTCAAAATTTTTCCGGGGGGGGGGGGGGGGGACATGCCGCCAGACCCTCTTGCAAGTTCACACCGCATTGCTCCGCTCAACAGTGACAGTAATTTGTGGGGACTTGTAAAATCTTATCAACCACAAGTCCCCCTGGCTTGTAAGTTTAAAAGTTTATTGAGAAGACTATAATTTATCACTGGTAATTTTTATGCCCCCGCTGTGGCAGAGAGAGCATTAAGTTATACCCTTGTATGGACGTCCCAATTTAGTTTCTGTTCTCTTTTGTTTGCCTCAACCAAATATTATGAAACTTATATGCAATGCCTATTTCCACCTAAACACAGATCAAGTTCAAATTTGGTTAATGTCACTTTCACCCTTATTGAGTTATGTCCCTTTATAAATAGAAAAATGGCTGAATTAGCAGTTTCCGCACTCTTACTTTAGCTGGCCTCAACCAAATGTTATGAAACTAATACACAATGCTTATTACCACCAAACACAGATCAAGTTTGAAAATGGGTAGCGTCATTTTCTTTGTTCTCATGTTGTGTTCCTTTATAAATGGAAAAATTTGGCAGATTTGTTGTTTCCGCAATTTGACTTTATTTTGTCAAACCAAATGTTATGAAACTTATACACAAGGCTTATTACCACCAAATGCAGATCAAGTCTGAATTTGGGTGGTGGTATCATTTTCACCTTTCTCCAGTATTGTCCCTTTAAAATGGAAAAAAATGCTAAATCTGGTGTATATCTACAAGCAGGGGCATCTGTGTCCCATGGACACATTCTTCATATATCATAAAAAGGTACTCACTTCTGATTTTACCAACAAATTTGTGATTCTAATGGTCCTATTGACTTTAAAGTCCAACAAATATAGTATTAAAATAAGAAATAAATTTGTAATTGTCATTTTTGAGTTTCTAGATGCAATTGAAAATATTTTTCTAGGAGAAAAAGACATCCCAGGCCTTACAGATACAACCATCCCAAGAAGACTTGGTCCAAAGAGAGCAAGTAAAATCAGAAAACTGTTCAACTTGTCAAAAGAAGATGATGTCAGACAGTATGTTGTCCGCAGACCACTTGCAGTGAAAGAAGGTAAGATGTTTCCCCATTCTGTAAACATTAATACAAATAAACTAGAGGCTCTAAAGAATCTGTGTCGCTCACTTAGCTCTTTGTTCATCTTCAACAATGGACACACTACAACAGTGTCTACTAGAATATTATTCATACTAAAATCTTGATGTTATTGATCTTGTATTCCTAATATTTGTTTCTGTTTGCAGTTTCTCTCTTTTATAGTTTTTGCCCAAAACTAAAAAAAAAATCAATATGGTCAGTTTCTTGAAAATTGAAAAGATCTGGTTTTCAATGCTTATCATAGTTATTGCCTTTAAATGATGTTTTTTGGCTAATTTTCAAGTTTTTGCTTATTATCTAAAAAGTTAAAGTAGATAAGAAGAGCCTGTTAACAATAAAATGATAGGCAATGCAAGACATATTTTTGTCAGGTGAACAATTCTGTCTCTCAGCAGCCTATTGTTCTTTGTCTATTGCTTCCACTAAGTAAATCATATATTGTTATGCCCATGTCGCTAGGGGAAGGCTTTATACAGTATGTAATAATTGGTGAATTTCGATTTCACCACTCTAACTTTAAGTTTTGAAGGTGTACATTGACACTTGCATATTTAGAAGCGTGCATCTGTGTCCCATCTACACATTCACTGGCAGACCTATTTGGAAAATCACCGCGATTTTTGTAAAAACTCCGGTGTTTTTTGGCTAATCTCCGCGAAACGGATAAAAATTAGAGGTTCATCGTAAATTTGCTGTATTACAGGATATTTTGCATGTTATCCGGAGATTTTCCGTGTCGGCGGGAATTAGCCGTTTGTCCGATAAAACTGGTGTGTATTGTGTCATTGATAGAATCACTGATGCGTGAGCGACGGTTATTAATAGGTCGTTGTATAATCCGTTATGCGTGAGCGACGGTTATTAATAGATCCTTGTAGTGTGGTACAAATTATGATATATAGATGTTTACAGAATTAAAAACAAAGTAACTATAATCATTTGAGATATAAGGAGTTTTCAAAAATATATCATATAATGTTTCTGTAAATTTAGAGAGAAACAGATTATATATATCTGGGGATTAGATGGTTACTTTTTTTAATTATATGTCAGAGGCCGCAGATCATTTAATTGCTTCTAGAACCGTTTATTGAAACAAAAATTAAATGAACGGCCAGGGGAAAGTCTTAAGTAACCTTAGTTGGTATCAGGGGTCAACTGGGTTGAGTTCAATATCGTAGCAGCTACGTAGCGGCTATGTAGTTGCTATCAATATCAATGTAGCAGCTTATCTATAGCTACACGTTCAATAGTAAAAATCTACATAGCACTACGTAGCCGCTACGATATTGAACGCAACCCTGGTAATACATAGAGTCAGACCGTCGTTGCATAATATGTATATGTATTTACACACAATGCAGTGCATTCAAACTCGATTTCGCAAACTCGTGGGTTGTCTTTTTAGACAAAAAAGTTCAATTTAAAAGATATGAAAGTTACGTACATGTATACAAGCATAGATATAATAGCCGTTATATCTATGATACAAGGAATTGTATATTTAACGTCAATGCCTGTCTTGTAAACTAATCTGTTACACTTTGAAATGTAAATAAGTTCTTTTTATACGACCGCAAAAAAATTTTTGTGGTCGTATATTGGTATGACGTTGGCGTCGTCGTCGTCCGGCGTCGTCGTCGTCGTCGTCGTCGTCGTCCGGCGTCGTCTGGCGTCGTCCGAAGACACATTGGTTTTCGCACTCTAACTTTAGTTTAAGTGAATGGATCTTTATGAAATTTTACCACAAGGTTCAATACCACAAAAGGAAGGTTGGGATTGATTTTGGGGGTTATGGTAATAACAGTAAAGGAATAAGGGGCCAAAAAGGGGCCAAAAATAAGCATTTTTGTAACTTCCAGACATAACTTGTGTGTTAGTGTATGGATCTCTCTGACATTATACCACAAGGTTCCATATCACTAAAGGAATGCTGGGATTGATTTTGGGGGTAATTGCCTCCAAATTTTAGGAATTAGGGGCCAAAAAAGGGGCAAAAAACAAGCATTTTTCTAGTTTCATGACAATAACTTGTGTGTAAGTGTATTGATCTTTCTGAAATTGTACTACAAGGTTCCATATCACAAAGGGAAAGCTGGGTTTGAGTTTGGGGGTAATTGCCCTAAACGTTTAGGAATTGGGGGCCAAAAAGGGGCCAAAAAACACATTTTTTTCTAGTTTCCAGACAATAACTTGTGTTCAAGTGTATGGATCTCTCTGAAATTGTACTGCAAGGTACCATACCACAAAGGGAAGGCTGGTATTGAGTTTGGGGGTGATGATCATAATGGGGGTTCAAAAAATTTTGGGGGGGGATTTATTTTTTTTTCATTTTTTTTCTTTTTTTCCTTTTTTGTTTCTTTTAAAATTTTCCATTTTAAGTTGGTTATTTCTGATTTATATTTAAAATCAAATAATAATGATATGGTAGGAGATACACACCAAACAGGATGTGTAAATTATTATATAATAAGTATTGTGCAATAGCAAGAAATTTTCAATTGCACAGTATTGCACAATAGCAAGAAATCTTCAATTGCACAGTATTGCGCAATAGCAAGAAATCTTCAATTGCACAGTATTGGGCAATAGCAAGAAATATCCAATAGCACAATATTGCGCAATAGCAAGAAATTGTCAATTGTACAGTATTGCGCAATAGCAAGAAATATTTAATAGCACAGGATTATGCAAAAGAAGATACTTCCTATAAATTGCTTATTTCTTGACCAATTTCAATGGGGTTTTATTCTTGATTTCATGGGGTTCTTTAATATGTTGAATCTAACCGTGTATTTAGTTTTTGGATTTTGGGCCCCGTTTTTAAATTGGTTCACATTGAGGTCCAAAGGGTCCAAAATTAAACTTTGTTTGATTTCAACAAAAATTGAATATATGGGGTTCTTTGATATGCTGAATCTAACCATGTATTTAGATTTTTGATTTTTGGGCCCCGTTATCAACTTTGTCCACATTGAGGTCAAAAGGGTCCAAAATTAAACTTTGTTTGATATCATCAAAAATTGAATTATTGGGGTTCTTTGATATGCCGAATCTAACCGTGTATTTAGATTCTTAATTTTTGGTTCCGTTTTCAAATTGGTCTACATTATGGTCCAAAGGGTCAAAATTAAACTTAGTTTGATTTTAACAAAAATTGAATTCTTAGGGTTCTTTGATATGCTGAATCTAAACATGTATTTAGATTTTTGATTATGGGCCCAGTTTTCAAGTTGGTCCAAATCAGGGTCCAAAATTAAACTTTGTTTGATTTCAACAAAAATTGAATATATGGGGTTCTTTGATATGCTGAATCTAACCATGTATTTAGATTTTTGATTTTTGGGCCCCGTTATCAACTTTGTCCACATTGAGGTCAAAAGGGTCCAAAATTAAACTTTGTTTGATTTCATCAAAAATTGAATTCTTGGGGTTCTTTGATATGCTGAATCTAACCATGTATTTAGATTTTGGATATTGGACCATAATAGGTGAATGTCCAATTTAAAATTTTTAAGTTCTTAGACCACATTCAATCTGTGTTAGAAACCTATGCTGTGTCAAATATTTAATCACAATCCAAATCCAAAGCCGTATCAAGCTTGAATGTTGTGTCCATACTTCCCCCAACTGTTCAGGGTTCGACCTCTGCGGTCGTATCAAGCTGCGCCCTGCGGAGCATTTTATTAAAAGATTGGACGGTTATTTCACATGAATAAAAGTTCTTCTGATCATTTTTGTTTTACAATGATTTTTGAAAGTGCGATCTTAAAACTAAGTTTGTCCGGACTTGCATGGAATATTTGCCACTGGAAGTTAAGCAACCAACAATCAATCATCTTAAAATAAAATAAATATGCCTGAGCGATAATATTCTTAAATTTTTTAATGTGAAACACAGTTTCTTCATTTATTAGAAATCACTTTCAGGTCTAATGGTAAAGTGAATATACATTCCGGGATGAGATTAATTTACTATAATTGCCAAAGAAAAAGAAATGATATTACGTTTCTTTTAATTAAATTTTAGACTGCAACAAATGTAGATCGAACATTTTTAATAATGAAATAATGCACGTCAAAAATTTCGCTCACAATAGAGATGTTAAAAATAGATTTTATCAATTGTGTCACTGCACGAGATCTTCCAACGGCGGGAAACATCATGTAGCTATAAACACAGGTGATGTTACTGACCGATTGTGGAATGTCAATTTAGGGTTAAATTTGATGTGTAATGATTGACATTATTGTGGCGTTAGGTTGAGGCTCTAGAAGGTTCATTTCAATTGATAACCAAAATTATAATATCAAGTTTTTTTTTTCAAATCAACGTTTAAGTGTAAAATTTTGTGGGAGGGAAACTTTATTTTGTTTGTTTTTTAGGGGCACAGGGAGTTACCATAAAAATCTATAGGAACATTGAATAAAACAATTTCGAAGGTCACAACTTGTAAACTAATGAAAACAATGATAAACACTGCTGACAAGCGTAAACAGTTGTACATTACTTAGAAAATAGAGAGAGTGAAAAAAAAGGACGTTGATGATGGTTACTGTTCATGTTAATTTTGAAAGATCGTGGTAACTGATTTCTCAGATGGTGGTACTTGCCAAAAGGTTGTATAAAAGGACAAACTAAGTACAATTTTAGCCGTGATATATGGGGGCCCCTCACGCTTGAATTAATTTACGTTACGTATTTCGTCCTTTATTATGACCTACAGTTGATCATAGTTGAGTACTACGTATCGGTCAGGGGCGGATCCAGACACTGTGAAAAAAGGAAGGGTGTGCTAGCCAGGGTTTCTCAGAAAAAAGGGGGTGCTAGTACAGTTGGCCTAATGTATTTGAAGGCCAGGATTGGAAGATTATCAGACATTCTGTGGCTCAATTTTAATTTTATTTTCTAACTGTGAAGTGCTACCTAAGCCGTGGCCTGGAGAACCATACCC